AGCCCGCATTTGAACAATTTGATCATAGTTGGCTGCATGTTGACATACCTCAGTGTAATATTTCTTGGACTTGATAGTGGTCTCAGCAGCGTTCGCGCTTTCCCTTATATATGCACGGCCAGAGCTTGGTTGCTTATGGCTGGTTTCAGCCTTGCGTTTGGAGCAATGTTCTCGAAGACATGGAGAGTTCATAGCATATTTACGGATGTTAAATTAAATAAAAAGGTATATTGTAAATGTGCAAAAAAAACAATTTTTTTTTATTTGCCCTGAATATTTATATCATAGGTAATCAAAGATTATCAACTGTTCATGGTCGTAGGAGTCCTGTTAGCCGTAGTAGATTTAGCAATTATGACAACTTGGCAAGTTGCAGATCCGTTTTACAGAGCGACAAAACAAATGGAACCTTATGTTCGTATTTTTGTTACTGCTGTTACTTAGTATAAGTTATTTTACTAAAATTGTATTTTATTGAAATAGCCTCATCCTACTTCGGAAGATGTGCTAGTGGTGAGAGAAAATGAATATTGTCAATCTGAAAGAATGACGATATTCGTAGGTGTAATATACGCCTACAAAGGACTATTAATGGTAATTTCCATTAATTTAATCATTTTTAAGGTATTAATTAGATTATAAGTAAATGTAATTTTTAGATTTTTGGAGCGTTTCTGGCCTGGGAGACACGTCACGTTTCTATTCCCGCGCTCAATGATTCTAAACATGTCGGACTATCTGTCTATAATGTCGTGCTGATGTGCATCATGGGTGCAGCAATAGCATTAGTCTTATCTGACCGTAAAGATGCCATGTTTGTTATTATATCATTATTTATTATTTTCTGTACAACAGCTACGTTATGTCTCGTATTTGTACCAAAGGTAATTATCTATATTGAACGTATATTTATCACTCCACATTTTATTATATGATCGTCTTGTATATTAACAGTTAGTGGAATTACGTCGAAACCCAGGCGGAAGCATCGACAAGCGAATTCGGGCCACGCTTCGACCAATGTCGAAGACGCGGCGAGATTCTTCAGCTTGCGAATTAGAACAGCGTTTACGCGATGTTAAAAATACGAATTGTCGATTCCGAAAGGCGTTGGTAGAACGCGAAGCTGAATTGCAAGTGCTAATGCGCAGACTTGGTCCAGAAGCAAGAGGTTTACTAGAAGGTAAACGCCCTGGGGTGACGCACCTCCACCAGCGGCGTCCAATAATAATGCTCATAGACTAACGGTTCCACTTTTGCGCTGTCCGAGCGCCAGCGAGACCACCGCACCTCCAAGTGCTACCGAAACAAGTGATATGACCTCCATTGTCAGTTTGTCTTCGTCTCAGGACTTAGTACAGCCAGGACAAACCACGCCGGGGCAAAAGTATGTTTATAAAATTCAACGTATCTACAAAATTATTTATAAATATCAATAATTATTTTGTACACGTGTTACAGAAAACTAAAAATACCGGATACGCCTCCGCCAGAACCGGCTGATGTGCCCATCACTACACAAACCGCTCAAATAACACAACAAGAACCACCCTCTCAGAAACAATCACAGGTGCAATCACTTCCACAGCCGCAACCTGAGCCTCAAGTTCAACAGACAATTTCAGAACTTGCCACAGCACCTGCTTTATCTGAACAGCCTGTCCAAGTACAATCGATAGACCCACCCCAGGATAAAGTTAGAAGTGTTTCTTTCGGACATCACGATGCTCGTCAACTAAATGGGAGTGTAACACGACCCGATGTAGGAAATGAATCGGAACGACGTAGTAGAACGCTACAGCAGAGCTTCGTCGTTTCCCAGAGCGATTTATGGGACACGGCAACATTGGCACATAATAAAATTTGTACGAGACCTACGCGCACCTGTCCTATGGCAGCCGAGTCGTCGCCTGGCAATCGAAGACATTGCACCGCATCTGACAGCGCTCAAAGTCCGGCGCAAAGCCCTATGCACCGAAGCGTGTCCGAAAAGAATAGGCATCGAAGTCACAGGCACAAGACGAAGCAGCAGCCCAGCCAGCAACAGCAAGCATTGCAGATCCAGAGCATCGATATGGAAGCCAGTAGATGCGGCCCATTAACGCGAAACGCTCGGACCCACCATCGGTCTACGCCGGACGTGGCCAGAATTGCTCCCTTGTCAGCCAGCAACGCCGCAGGCCCGGGCGCGCAGCTTAAGAATTCCGCAGTCCATGCCGCCAGCTCGGAATCGGAACTTTTAGACGGCACTATTTTACCAATATTCAGAAAACTATTAACCGAAAGAGAACCGAGGCGCGGCGCCTCAGGAGCGGCTGTGGGTGCTAGTTGTCCAAACATTTCTATTAAATGTGATATAGTCGAATATCTGTAGTGACTGTCGCCTCGTGGGTGCTTAAACTAATATTAAATACTCGAAACTAAGTTATCGGCTGTTATTTTAACGAAATTGTCAATACTTTTTATCGATATTACGTGTTAATATGCGTTAGTTGTTAGGTAAATAGAGATTTACATTGATAAAGTAATTGATCATGTTCGAATATAATAATACTGTAGATAGTGGTTACGCATTTCAGGTTCACACTGATTAATACAAATGTTCTGCTGTCAATTCTCATCAATTTTAATTTAGCATTCAACATATCACATGAACACAGTATGATTACCTATTTCTATGAAAGATGTTCAGTTCAATTTTCATTTCACTTGACATTAAATGAGTATTTCTATGATTTGGGGATGATAACGAGTTGCTCTGTCACGCTAAAGTTGTAGTCAAATTAAAGAAGGGCATTGAATAACTCTTGATATAGCTGTAGCTCGTAAAGTGTCTAGTACATACACCGGCAATTAGTGCCTTAAGTCAAGATTATAGCAAACCTATTGTCATCGCAGAAGGATTTCAGAAGCTTAATATTAAGATCATGATCTTTAGCAAATACTGAGTCACATCTAACAGCTATATGAATTGTCCGACTTCACCAAATTTATATTGCTCATAATTATTAGAACCTTACAATTGAAATAAAAACAGTGTAATAGTTTATGTACCCGCTAATGAACGTACGGCACTAATGGTAAGCAAATTCATTAGAAATATAAACACACAAGTGACTAAATGAGTTAAACGAGTGGATTAAAAACTTTTATTGTAGAAACGTGTAAACAGAATTGAACTATTTAATATTTTGTTCGCATTGTGTAACTTTGATAAATAGACTTTTATTAAAACGTAGAGTTTTGTGTAAAGTGCAAATGAGTACTGGTGTATTGATATATATGTATGAAATCTCTGTCAATTTATTAATTTAAAAAAATAATTATCAGTAAAATGATAAACATGACTGGCATTAAATTATATATATATATATATATATATATATATATATAAATTATTTATGTAAATATTAAATATCCAACAAATTTGTTATACTTAATCATAATTTTACTATAGATTACTAAAACAACTCACGATCAGGTGTAAAGAAGGTATCAGATGGCAAAGCACTATTTGAGAACACAAATTCGTGATTTCTCAAAACTTTAGGTAAACTTCTAATTCTGTTGAATAACAGGTGAATTTTGATGCAAGACCTCGTGTCATCTTACAAAACTCGGCTTGCAAATAAAACTAAATAATTTGCTACGACTATACATTAATTCTTGACAGACATCCATTAATCTGACTCGTAGCACCAGATACTTTTTATAAAATCACTAATTCTATTATATTGTTATACAATATTTTATCACATATTTATTTACCATGATAGATGTAAATAAATTTAAATCCTGAATTGCTTTGCGCATATGTCCAATTAGTAGCAAGTTGATTTGTGTATATGCTAATTATTAATTTTTACTAATGTGTGTATGTATATAGTAGATTATAATACCTCGAAATTAATATAAATTGATACGCACTTATATGTAAGTAAAAGATAATTTACAAAAAAAAATTGTCGTTTTATTTTTTCTGTTACTTTGGTATTTTAAATACGCGAATATACACGAAGATCAGAATGTATGATTGTCGTTTGGTTGTAGGCTAATGAGAAAGGTATTTATTATTATAATACATAGCATAGGATAAATGAAGCATTTCTTGATGTGCATTAAATAAGGTTCATATGCTTTTGCAAATTATTTTGCGAGAGAGGGGGCCGAGCCGTTTTTCTATAATTAGCACATAAGTAAGTCCGAAATTGTTCTTCCACGTTTTTGTAACGAATCTTGAACCGTTTTAGAAAATTCAAAGACAGTTCAAAGTATATCAGTTGTAAATTACGAGTAGTAAAGAGTCGTTTCTTCGTGATTTTTTTTTTTTCAAACTTCATATGATCATGGTGTTCACGTTCCTAACGAACATTGTACAGTAAAAAATATAAAAAGTGGTTTAATTATAAAAATGCATTACTGTTTGGAATAATGAGCTACGTCAAAATTTCGAACAATTTGAAAAGTTGCTAAATATAAATTCTTATCGATATAGCCGATTACTGACACATATTGAGAAGTACATGCAACTTGCCTTAAGGCAAAATGTCACTTACACCTAGTTATAATTCTAATCGTATAGGTCATAAAAAATTTAAATCTAGTCAGTAGTTTTCAGGGAGGGGCAATTACTAGGGTGACAAATCAAAAAAATAACATATCTTGCCAAAGTGTATAAAAACAAAGAAGAGTTTTTAACTAAATACCCGTCTGCTAACGTAATCAGTATGGCTGTAAAACATAAAATGTGCCTGTTGAACTCATTGTTATTATGCAATAAAAGCTCGGCAAACAAGTTTGTCCATTTGTCCATTTGTCCTTACTAAACGTAAAGCCATTGCCGCTTTTTCGTAGTTCGCGAAATTTTAAATCGCCGGGTACGCAAGTTGTCAACATGAGAGCCGTTCACGTGTGGCAACCCGTTTTAATATATTTGCCACAAATATAAAAAACTTCAATTGTTAATGTAATGCTTGAAGTGGAAATGTATATATTTATGAACGCTTGTGATAATTGTGTGTATCGTTTCAGTGGGTTACATAGCGCTATATAATATTTGACAATAATAATTACGTCAGTGGCCATTTATTACATTCGTGAACGAATTTGCAGCCGAGGTAAATAAGTAAATGGCTCGGTGCGTGACTGTTGTGGGATTGAAAATATGGCGTCTAAATCTAGAAAAAATTTAGATAAAACTAATGATTCTGACATCAGGAGCATTATATCGAGCCAACTCGAGGTAACGTATTAAATTTGTCATTTTTCAAATGTGATGAATTCACTGTGCCCATTGTTAAACTCGTGCGACAGTTTTTGTTTTGTGTTTTGTGCGCCATGTTATGTTCTTTGACGGCTCTTTCAAGACATTAAAACCAGTGTCGTAATGTTGTTTGTTCTCATTATGTTATCAATAAATATGTGCATTTCGTTCAGTGTAATGTGTCTAAATCTAATATGCAATTAACCGCCACAAACACGACTATGACATATATACAAATGCTTAGTTCTGTAAGATCAGTTTAATAACGAATATGCAATATGATAAATACATAATTTTTCTGTGATGTACGATTGACACTTTTTCTGATTTTAGCAACTTCAGCAAATACAAAATGAAGCTAACAACCACCCAAAAAAGCTGTCAATTTTAGTTCGACTTTGGAAGGCCGTCGTTGGTTACAATGATAGTTCTAAAAGTGTTCATATTGACAAGCTCATAGAATGGATGTATTTCCACACCGCAAAGTTGATACTCCAGGTAATAAAACAATGCACCAAGAAATCACATTAACATTAAAAAACATTCACATTAAAATTGTAAAGGTAAAAATAATCGTAATATTATATGTTTTTTCCATTCACAAACAAGATATTTAATTCTTTTCATGCTTTTTCTTCGGTTATTACAAATATGTCATTAATCTCATAGTTATTGAAATCAAACACATTTTATCAGATCTATTATAGTTCAACCAATCAAAATGTCTTGGCAGAAAACTTAAGTCATCATTTCCTTACATTGGATTGACAGGATTGATGTAGATATTATACATATCATAAGTTGTTTGATATTGTAGTAAATCTATTCAAGAGTTTTTTTTGTCTTAATTTTGACTAAATATTTGGTTGCTATATAATAAGTTCAATTGATTCTCCTTGTAAGAACATATGTTTTTTAATTATAAGTAGTTAGTAATCTTAAAGATTGAAAAGAAACTATTCATTTTCTAAGAAATATTTTCAACATGTAAATTTATATTATAGGCAACTTGGGTGAAATTAAAGAAAGATGAATTAACAGTTCTAAATCATTGTATTACGACTATGATTAATAATAGACTTAAAAATGCACAAGAGACGAAAAATACAACTTTACACAGATTAAATGTACTGCAGAATTTATTTAAGAATCCATGGAAAAAATCAACTCTTCAAATCATATTAAAAAAGCAATATGTTATATCTGCAGATCATGGTATGAATTTTTTTTGATTAAAATCATTTGATTTATACAAATCTTACTGGAATTAATTTTTTGATTCTCATAGTATTTGTTATTGATGAAATTGGTATATAAATTATATATTGTTGAAGTACTGGTTTCAAAGCTATGTATGGTAATTGCAACATGATTACACATTATGTAGGGCATAGTGTACAGAATTGTGTAGATAATTCTCTAGATTAAATTATAAACACATAAAATTAAATAGTAATTTTGTTGAGATCCAATTAGATTTATATTTCGATATATTCAATGTCAATTTATTACAGTTATGGAATATCTGCGCAGCGAAGAAGGATATATTATTGTGTCCAGGCTGGATATTCTTTGTGAAGCTCATTGTGAAGATTTAGCTTTACGTTTGGCAGATGTAATTTTGAAATGTATTAAATGGCCAAGTAGAAAATCATTGGAATCCGTTCTGTCCATTGATCAAGTCTATTACATAATAGATATTTATTTAGCACTTTTGCACAAATTTGACCAAATTGAGATTTGTATATCAGAGGTAAATTTTGATTTAATAATAGAAACAATATTTAAAATTTATTTATTTAAATAAATGTTTAAAAATATTGCGCAGATGCAAAAGCTTACGATGGATGAGGGACTGAAGTGCATACAAAGATTTCGCAGTAAAGAAAGAGATAATATTAAAGTTTGGAGTAATTGTTATTTAGTTGCAGAATTAGCTACTCAGGTAATGAGTTTATATTTACATTGGTGTTTTATTTTTCTGTTGTTGCTTAATGCAATTTGTATGCAAACTATCCTTCATTGAAATATAAATAATCCTTACAATTTAAATATTTTGTACTGTAACTTCATATTGTTAAATCATATATTCTTGAACTGTTATTAGCTTATTACATCATAATGAGCTTAATACAATGCCTAAAGAATGAATTGAGTAATATATATGTATATATCATTACAGGTATTTGTTGTTCAAGCATTAGCACAACCCAAAATAAAACAAAATATGCTTGAGAAATTTGTATTTGAGTGGGCATATGTACAAAATAAATATTGTGATCGCACTCAGTTACCTTTAATGACAAAAAAATTAATACAGCATGCGAAATCTACAGATCAAATATGTTTGATTGCAGATACTTTATTTAGCATGGTAAGTTATCAGCAATTTATTCATTTTTTTTTTTTATTATTATACTAATATATTTTTTTTCCAGTATAATGAAGAAGCCAAATCTTTAACCATAGAACTCTATATTCGAGCCATAACATTTGATGTGAACCTTTTGGAAAAATGTAAGACTGATAAAACTTTAACTAAACTTATTGAATTTAAATTATCAAAGCGGTTCATGGAGTTTAAAAGGTTTTTTGAGAATAATTTAGGAGTTTGTAGGGAATGCATTTTAACAGCATTTTCGCTAAATCCAACTGAAGAGACATTAAAGGAAGTGGAGCAAATTGCTATTGCAACTGGAAAATTGAAACTTAATGATGAGACTATTGAATTAAAAGACAGTGTCGAGACTTTGGATACAGGGCAAAAGAAAATTTGGAGTTGTCCATTGCATGCACCTTATGATGAAAGTTCAAAAATAGAAGGACGATTATTAGATTTATGTTGTAGTTGTGGATCTTTTAGAGTCAGAATGGCAAAGACTAATGATTGTTCAATGGATGCTTTACTTGGTTTGACTGGAAATTCAATTACCACATATGAAAACTATGATACAATGAGTTCTCCTAATTCAGTTTTAGATTCATTAGTTCAGCATGTTCCTTTGAGTTTATGTGAAGACTTAGTTAGCATCATCAGCAGCATTAGAGTTAAAACATTAACATGGCTACATGATTGGTCCGAACTGAGTAAAGCTTGTGAAAATTACATGTATTTTCAAGAAGGCACATTCAAAAGTTCTGAAGGATTGAAATACTTAAAAATTGACTATCGGCAGTTTGAAAGCTGGCCTAAGGTTGATAAATTCAGCATGGATAATGGTATTGAGAAGGGATATGAAATGTGTGCAGATTTGACTAATGATGACACCCAGGATTCCAAATATGATAGTGACGATTTTTTAAAATCTAAAGATCAGGGTATTGTAAAGCGAAGGAAAATTCAACAGTCTGAAGAGGTTATTGATAATGTTGATACTACTGATGCACACGCTACTGGCACGAAGGAAACACAAGATTTCTTTTCTAAAGTTAACAATTTGTCTAATGATGTTATTTCTTATGAAAAATCTCGATCAAAGTTAAAATTAAATAGCGCTAAGGAACTGAGGACAATAAGTGCTAAAAATTCTTCTAAAAACAGTTTTTTTGCAGATTCAAAGGAAAATAAAAATTCTTGTGATGGTACTAAACAAAGTTCAGTGATTGGTGAATCAAAAATATGTGATTTCAGTAATTTAACTTCTATTATATCACCTGAAAAAAAATCAAGTGATCCTAATGTTCTTAAAAGTTTACGAAAGTATCGTCCTAATATGAAGTCAAAGGCTTCAAAAAAGTTGAATAATAATCCTAGTGTTGTAAAATATGTAAATGAATATGCACCAGCTCTGAGTGAATTGAATCTTAGTCCTCGTGTTATTTTGAATAGATGTGTTGATGAAGGTGCTATGGAAGATGGAACTGAAGGAGATTTTTCATCGAAGGCTTGTGTTAAAATGAATAAAATTTCAAATGAAAATGGTAATAGGGAAAATATTGAAAGTAAAACTGAATTGTCTGTTTGCAATAGCAATTGTAATATTTTATCAGGCATTCCCGGTCTTAGTTCTTTTGATATGTTAATTCCAGATAAAGTGCAGCCGATAGTGCAAATAGTGCAACTTGTACATAACACAAGTAAACAACCAATGTCTCCACCTAAAGTAAGCAGGTCTTCTTCACAATCAAATATAACAATAACTACATCAACGCCAAATTCTAATATGGAAGCAAATAGAATATCTATTGGCGATTCAATGTCTCAGTCTGGAAGTTTGAGTACGCCAGTAACTCCACATATTCAGCGTATTGGACAAGCAACCTTGAATTGTGATTCTGTACAAGTGATTTCTTCTGTATCAGCTGCCGCTGTGTCATCTGTGCAATCTAATCCTCAAGTTTTGCAGACTTCTAATGTGACTTTACCTGATTTAGTACCTGCTTCTCAAACATTAGATAATGTATCTACTGATAGCTCGCCTTCTACTAGTATATCTCAACTTAATGTCATATCAAATGCATCTCAGGCCAATAACAGTCGTTTAAAAATTAGTAATTCCACGTTAACAAATTTGCTTACAAATAGAATAACCATGCCTACTAAATCAGGAAATCCAAATTTGAAATCGAATCCTACTATATTAAATGTGTTGTCACAAAAAATTTTGAGACCCCCATTTTCTTCATCAAATATGATAAATTGTAATTCAATAGTTTCCACAGCACAAAGTACACCACATACTTCAAATAATAGTAATTTGGTATCTTCCACTTTACAGACTTCAGTTAATTCTCAAACGCTTAATGCAAACATCACAAGCAGCCCTCAATCTCAGCAACACTTATTGCAAATTTTGAATCAGTCACAAAAACAAGGTAGTTCTCAAGTTATTAAGGGTGTAAATTTAATATCAGGCTTATCTGGTGCATCTGATTCTAAATTAGTTCAGTTCATATGTAAGACGGATGGAAAAACTTTTCAGTTAACACCATTTTCTGCAAATCCAGCCAATGTAAGAATTCAGCAAGTGGACAATCGCGTATTTAAGTCAGCGTCATCTACACAGGTTAGGCCACTTGATGCTGGAACCGGTATTAACACAAGGTCTGTTTATGAAGAAAATTATGCCAAGTTTATTCAAACAGCAAATAAAATTACGCACATTCATAACACATCTAAGCAACCCAATACTGTTGCCACTACATTAACAGTCAGCTCAAATCAAAATACTAGTTTGCCAAAATTTAATCAGGCTTTTGGTAAGGCTGCATTTCACAACAGTGGAAATCCAGATTCTACAAATGAAGGTGAATCATCTAGTGCATCGAATAATGTTACAAACTTGCCTGTTATCAAAACCTACAAAAGTGATGCTGATGATGGTACTTTATTAAGCACAGTTGTTCAGAATGCAATAAACCCTGTAATTATAAAACGTTCACAGTTACCAAGTTCCACCTCAACTGTAACAACATTGGCCGGAACAGCAAGTCGAACAGCTATGACCCCTTTAAGTGTTCAAACTGTGCACGGAGGAGTAATTTACACTCGGCAGATTCCTATTAATACTGGTTCATTATTTAATGCAAATATAAATCGAAGTCCAGTCAAGTTGCCACAAAGTTCAGTGGACACACAGGCAATCCAAACAGTGGAACCAGTCATGGTGTCCAAAAGTTCAGTTGTGCGGAACAAAGTAAATACTTTGCTGGCAGCAACATTTACTCCTCCAGTTAGTAGTGATTTAGAAAATGCTCCGGGCACGCCATTTACTAGCCAGACTCGAGCTGAGTCAAGTGAAGGAAGTTCAACAGAGACTACACGAACTAGTTTACAACAACCATTATATGCACTGCAAACAAGTCTTCCAATTAAATTAAATGTACCTTCTTCTGCAATGTTTTCAAATGCTAAAGTGGTGAGGCCTGTCCTTCAAATACCAAACACATTACTTACAACTACTTGTCCTATTAAACAACAGCTCGTATTAACTGCTACTCCTGCTCCATCGACCAGAATGAGTCAGAGTTCACGTCTCACTGATAATTTAATTAGCACAAGCCCCATGGATTCTTCAGTCAGTTCCTCAACATTAGAACAATTGCGCGAATTTGACATGGTGTTGGAGCAAGTTAAAGAACGAAGTACAGTCCAGCCAAATATACAAGTTGCTGTGCCCTCTCCAAATGTACAAGTTTCGTTGTCATCGAATATATCACATGGATTACTTATACCTCAATCACAAAGTGAGTCTTCAGAATCGGTATTGCATGTGTCTACTGCATCTTTTGGACAAGAAGTTGTTTTTACAACTACAGTGTCACCACTTACACAAAGATTAAACCTTACATATATGAGTCAGAATCTTGCAAAACTAGCAGGAAGTACGCCAGTGGTAGTGGTTACAAATTATCAGCAGGCTCCTTCACCAGCATTGAGTGTGACTTCCCAAAGTAGTTCCAGTCCTTGTGTCACGCCTGCTCCTACTACACCAATTTCCTCCGCAGGAAAGACTCCTCCAAAAGTGACATCAAAGTCTAAATCGAAAACAGTAAAAACAAATTCAACAAGCACTTCGAAAGCTTCACCTGTGCCGAAGCCACTTCAGAAACCTCAAGAAGATGAACAAACTGCACAAAGGATCTATGACATATTAGCAGAGTATGCAGAACAGTTGAGAAATTCACCTGATTTAAATAATAAGCCAGCTCCCCGCAGGCGATCAAATCCTTCTGCAAATCCTGGTCCAAATTCAAAACGAAAAAAATCTTCTGGCTCAAAACGACCACCTGGGCAAGGTACTTCAAATGCTTCTGAGATGAGCCCTGGTGCGGATGATCATCACACAATGGGAAGTGAAGACAGCTCCTGTGGTTTGGTGCAGATTTCTATGCAGAATTCTCCATCTCAAGGCATATCAAGCATGGAAGACTGCATACATGATACTTCTTCCGATGTTGGTGGTAATGTCAGAAGCGCACAGTCAGATTCTAGTGATGGCACTGCTACAACATCTGAAACAAAACCTCAGGCACTGCCACCTGCTCGGCATGTAATTTTTACAGATCCTAACGGTGCCCAGCAAAGAAATGTTATTATAACTGAAACAGCTGTTGGTGAAGCATTAGCTCAAGTTGGAAAACTAGGATCTTCTACAGCTACTGTTCTTGTGCCTGGTAATTACATCCTTCCTATGTCAATGGTTAAGGGAGGTCAACAAATAACAATTGTTTCTGGTGGTTCTAAAATATTAGCAACTGTTCCAACTAGACCAGGTACTAATGCAAATGCTTTAGTTTTACAGAGTATATTAAATCAAGCTCAAAAGCCTATAATTGCACAGCAGGCGTCATCTATAAAAATACCAGCCATTCAAACTATGACTGGACTGACTCAATCAGTAGTTACTAATAATCAAACTAGTGTAGCGCAAAAATTACCATCTGGAAATCAAATAAACCAACAAGTTGCATATATAGAATCAATTGCAGATAAAGGCAGTACTGCTATTAACAGTTTATCTACCTCTCAAGGAAAAATAATTTTGAATTCAAGCACATCAACTATGAATGTTGTGTGTGCTAGTCCCTCTAAGGTTGGTTCTGCTAATGTTACTGGATTTATTTCCAAATCACCAGCAGTAGTCAGAACTTATTCTACAATCACCCACACTTCTAGTAATAATAATGGGCAAAAATTGTCACAAGCCGATTTAGTTAAAATCAAAAATAACTTTTCTGTGGAAGATAATAATGAACTTAAAATTAATGTTACTCCTGATGTATCTACAATAGTTAGTACTAGTAATATTCTGACAGAATCTCAGGGTAGATATACACTTAGTATATCATCACCAGCTGTTTTGACGCAAAATATTGGGCAAACTAATGCTTCTGTGTCGGATATACAATCTTTGAGAACCAACAAACCAAAGTTATCAAAAGAATCAAATAATATCCCAGTGCAGACTGCAAATGCTGTTGTCACATCTTCTTTAGCTTGTTCCAATCCGGTTATAAAATTAGTAAATTCTTCAAATCGTGAAAATATTAATACAAGTGAAGTTTTTGAGTCGAGCGATACGGCACAAGATGAGCGCGCCCAGTCTATATTAATCAATACAAACAATCGTATAATTAATGGGCCACTACTAAGCCAGATGACTAATCATGTTTATCAATCTTCACCCACAATCACCAATTCTGTTGAAACAATCGATGGCAATGAGAATGGTCAAATAAAAACTAATAATGACCAGAAAGATAACAAAGTTGAAAATGGAATGATTGATCAAAATGAAATTTTTTCTAAAGAAAGTACTCCTTGGAGGTACGTTCCGACTACCTCAAATGTTGAATATTTGACAATGGGAGATGAAATTAAGTTTTTCCGAGAAAATGTGGATGCAAATTGCGAGAATATTTGTGATAAAACCGGAGAAGACATGGACACAAAGTCTTACCAAAGTCATTTGAATTCTGATATTATAAAGAAGAGGTATGTAAATTCAATGATTTCATCTTATGGTACGAAATCCGATCGCCTGAAAAACGCAACGCTGAGAGCGAGCAAACAATTGCAACAACAAACTTTGGAGCGTAAGCAGGCTGCGTTGGAAAGGGAATTGCGACTACAAAAATCTTTATCGGAAGAATGTGAAGATTTGGGAGTTGATGAACCAAGTACAAGTGATCTGTTTCCAGAGGCCGATTTGTTATTCGATCCATCCCATTCTTTTGATCAGAATAGTCAGGATGCCACTTGTAGTCAAGCCGTAGGCAAGAATTATATTCGTGCTAATTTTAAGTCTCTTGATTCATCTTCGAATAGTACTGACACAGATTATGTGAAAGCTGAACTCGATGATACAAAACATTGTCGCAACGCCGAGCAAAATGAGGGTTACTTATTAGAACAACCTGCCAAGGTATGTTCTACTGATCATGGAATAATATCGGCAAGTTCTTGTAGGTCAAACAATTACATTGTACAAACGGATGATAATAAGAAGGAGCCGCTTTCAGATTTTGATAACAATTCTGAGTTTATGTTTAGTACAACTTCGTTTTCGCGTTCCGTGGATGAATCGTGCATGGAGTTGGTATTTGAAAGTACTGATAAGAACTCAAATAAAAATGGTAAAGATGAATGCTTGCATGCTAACCACAATTCAAACAGTATACCTTTCGAGCCGTCTGGAGAACAAACGTCCGCTGAAACATCTCCTAATTTACCATCGCATATTTCACGGACCAAATCGCGCAAAAGTCTAATTTATGTCAACTGTAAGTCAAAGGAGAATTCTTCTAAAATAAATTGGGAGTCGGAATTGGAACATTCTACTACGGAAGACGAGATGCAGTTTACCGAAGATGATTCCAGTCAAGGCCAACTCGAAAATTTTCATGCCATCAGTTCTGGAGCAGGAGGACTAACACCGAGGATGAATAAGAGGAAAAGGCTCGATACACTTGAAGGAAATGGTTTGAATGCAGATAAAGTTCAAAGTATGAAGAACGACTTTGCGAATTCGGCGAAGAGAAGGAAGTCAATGGAGAGCGATCAAATGACCGACATGGAAAATTTGACCAGTTCTCCGATTAGTCCGTCAGAAGAGCACACGCACGAGTTGGTCAAAGGATCAACGCGGCGGCTGTCGCTTCGGGGGCACGTCAAGAAAAACTGTGCCTGTTGTAATGGAAAAGCCGTCGCCGATACTGTGCCGGTTGTTAAAAAGCCCAGATCGAAAGTGGATAACATGAGAGCGGTAAAAATAAATAGAAAGCCTACCGTTTCTCCCAAAATAAAAAATTTAGTATCCAAGAAGAGATAGTATGTATCATTATGTTTCGTACTTGATTACAGGCAGTACTTAGGTTGACAGGATAAAGCATTATATTGCTTACTGTCCGTCTAATCGAAAAAGGCTGATTTTTATTTTTTGAATAAGTTCTTATCATTTAGTGTAATATTACAGTTCACGTTTATTTTTAATTTTAGCACAAACTTGTACACATTTTCAGTATGTATTACTGAGAATAGATGTTGGTTTATTGACGAACCAGAACTAAATCATTTCCACAATTAGTATGTATAGATATCTATCATTTATCTGATACTAAATTTAGAAGCAGAGATATATACTAGCACGTTTATATATAATTAATGAAATATGTACATTCATATATATAATCCTGCTATGCTATATATCGAGATTATAATTATAATTTATCTAGTCAGTGCTACCATTAATTTTAAAGTAATAATGTAATCGGTGCTCTTTACATTTACACCTTAGTACAAATGATATGACGCGTTTTGATACTTTATACCTTTGAATTGAGAGCTACCATTTCAGGAAAGAAAAAAAAACACATAGATTGTATACTGTTTTATATATTATATATTTGCTCGGAAAGCTTTGAATTGATTGTGGTCCTCAACTGGAAATGAAACGTTTATCCATGATTTAAGACATATCACGTTCTATTTAATTGTAAAAGTAAATTTCTTTGTAAATAATGACTCGCACTCTTAATTAGATTTGAACGATATTATCGTAATATGAAATGTAAGCGTTAGCTAATTTAAATCAAAAACAGCTCGTGAATGTGCTTTGTGAATGTACTCGTTAACTTTGTAAAATGAAATTCTGTGTTTCATTGTTTTGCGAAATCAGATGACAGATGACAATATGCAAATTTATGAAAATTGTGCAGCTATTTTATAAAATGATATATTAATTCCTAGGTAACTGATTCCTCCTCTTTAATTCGCAATCTTCCTTTTTGCCGTTTTGTAATGAAACGATTCAGTTTTACTTAATTTCGATGCGAAAATGATGTACATATTTAGATCACATTGTTTTTTATGCTTTTACGAGTAATAAAATAAAAGGTCGACTGTATTAAAATTAATTGCATTTGGTCTTTCACGCGTTTACTGAAATTGTGAAATCTTGCCAAATCAAACATTTTTGGTGCGTTTGTTTATACATTTGAACGCATTTTACCAGAAATCAGTTTATCATTACCGTTATTTTTTTTACTTAAAAATTGTGGTGAACCGTATGAATGTTCTGATGAAATGTGATTGGTGTTTGTTTGTGTGATGATATTATATATTATAAAAAAATATTAAACTATGAATTCCTTTTATAGCTAGATAGTTAATGTATGTAAATACATTTTTCATGTGTTCTTGTTGCAAACTTAATGAAAAATTAGATATACATTGGTATATTTCACATTGTAAATGAAATGCTGCAGCTTAATCGGACTCTCCTGTAAACTAATTCGGTATACTGCAATTTTAGTTGCATTTTTATGCAACAAAACTTGGCAGTAGGATAATATGAATTTATTGAATGTAGATTTTTAAGATTGTTATATGTGCTTCAAATGTTATTACCTCTTTCATTAGCTAATAATTTATAGATTTAATGTTTATACCAAAATGTTGTAATTATTATAAATAATATATTGCCCGTAAATATTTTTTACTTTCAGTATTAATAACGAGAAGTGAATGATAAATTTAAGTAGTTCATATGTTTATTATGTAAAATTTTATTGCACTACTGATGAAATATTTATTTTTATTTTGCTATATGAAAGAATAACATTCTCAAATATTGATTGATAAAAAATGTTATGTCGGTTGGAACTAAAATGCAATATACTTCTATATGTGTATGTATATGTATATGTATATATATATATATATATATATATATATATATATATATATATATATATATATATATGATTTTATTGCCCTGAATTGGAGCCTAATTTTTTTTTCAAAATATTTAATTTTTCATTTATATTTATTTTTACGTTTCGGGGATATGGAATGTCCTCTTCCTCGGGAATTTTAAAGTATTGAAATAAATAACATTTCGCAACTAACAATTAAATTGTTCATTCGCAAATTATATAATCGATGATACTTCAAGTTATAGGTGCATATAATAAAGAATCAAAGTTGTAATACTCACCTAAAACTCAAAGTATCGTCAATTACAATTCCAATACAATTACAATATGAATTTAATCTTAATCTTACAGCTGATAATATGAATTTTTAAAAGTTTAATTTAATTAGAATTTTTAGAGAAAGTATAATTCAATTTTTAGTCAGTACTTTTTTTTTTAACGTTTTTAATTTCAACATTTAAAAAGGGGGACATTTCATATCCCTGAAACGTACAAATAATTACAAATAAATAATTCTTTGATAAAAAAGAGGCATTCAGTTCAGAAAAATGATATATATTAGCAAAAAGTTGGTTAATAAAATGAAGCTATTTATGTACGAATTTCTTTCATATATTATTCTTTTTCATATTTTTTTCCACATATAATATTTTTTTACATTTTTTTTTTTCAATATACATATAATTGTGACAAATTTTATATACATTGCAAAGAGTTTTATTAATTTATCGAGTAGCTATTATGTAAGTGTAGAGAAAGTTAAAATGAATGTGATAATGAAAAAGAATATTTTAAATAAAAATAAAAAATGACCTATAATAAAAAAATTAACATATGCATGTGCGAATATTTATGCATGATGTATGCATTTATACACACACACACACACACACACATATATATATATATATATATATATATATATATATATATATATACCATCCATCCATCTAGTTATTAAAAAAATTCAATTATGTTCAAATTATCAATGCGTTTTGAGATCAGTGGATAAAACTTGCAAGTTATTAAAAACAAAACACTAAAGCTATAGGATGAACTAAAGACTTGATTAACATTCATTATATGAATTAATTGTGAAAATTAATTATATATTCAATTTGAAAAATTTCATAATAATAATTATTATTATATAATAATGCTGAAAAGGTGTTTGGAACAAGCTACTTATTTTTATTAAATACCACTGTTAATTAAGTGTTTTGCTAATTGTGTGCGGGTTTTGTATTAGTTTTTGCGAATTTTATCCGTTGAGATCAGTTTTTTTTAAATGAATGTATCTATTTTTTTTTTAATAACTTCCATTCATTCCTGGTCCCAACTTGACTCTTCTTCAGTGGAAACACAAAACCACATTAAATGAATGAAATACTAATAATAATTTGTGCGTTTCATCCACTGGATAAGAGTCAGATTGGTACTAGAAACGTATAGAAGACCATTAAAAATATTTAGAAGCATTTTCCTTTATTATCTGGATGGATGATGGCCAAAAAACCTTTGTTTTGTGTGCGTGGATTTCCAATGTACATATAAATTGTCGTGCATTCATGGCAACCTAGCTAATGTATATGATACATATTTATTTTGAACATGCGTTATGTTTTGATTGATCATCATTAGTAAAATATGAAACACTAAAATTAAATTTGGTACTGCTTTGTAGCTGAATATGTACAATGAATGGTTATCTCAAAACGCGTTTAATTAGTTTCCTTTTTAGATATAAATAAATATGGTCAGTCGTACTTTTTGGCGACTACTTTTTGGTGATTTGAAATTGCAATAGTATGTTTTAGGAATTTTTATAATTTCTCTCCTAGTGAATTATAATTAAAATTTGTGGTATATAAGGGTGAAGAAAAATATAAAAATAAACTTGTACATAAATTTTGAAATGTTCTTTTGGTTATATAACATTTATATCGTGTTTTGTCGTTACTAAATATTGCACACATTATTATCTTGCCTACTGTTGCTGCATTTTTTATTTTTGATGAAAATCATTTATAAATAACAGCTTAAATTAACACTAAACATACAGTACTATAAGTAGGGTTGTAGTTATGTATAAGTTTTCAAATAATCTTAATGTGTGCCAAATATTATATAATGACCTGTAAACACTTTCCAAAAGTTGTAAATGTATAAGCCAACTTTGCGTAACTGTATAATAAATAATAATTTTTAAATAATATATTTAATTATACACACACATGTATACATATATATATTTATATATGTATATATATACATATACATATATACGCATATAGTTCAAATGACTTGAAGAAGTTCAAAATATTTTTCATAACATAAAATGCTTATGCGTTAGCAAATTGTACATATATATTAGCAGATGTTACTTATATGAATGGATCTGATAATTGTTGACGACAAGCACCATGGTTATAAAACAGGCATTGTATATATAAATATATAAATATATCTGAAAAATGCTATATGAAATTCTTAAAATTGTCATTATTTACTTATTCTATATGTATTAAGAGAAAGTAAAATAGTTAACAAAATATAAATGCTTTTAAGTTCAAAGCGGTCGCTAAAATCCTCATCACGAAGTCATTATATTTTAAATCTTTCAGGGCTGCGAAACATTTTTTTTGTTTGTTAGTTTCGACAGCAATCAGAACTGCTCCTATAAGATGTTTGTTCGAAGACATGACCTACTATTTCATGAGAGGCAACCCAGCGGTCTCCCCATCCATTCTCATATGTATGGCGATTATATTAGATATACAGTCAACCCTCCTACAGCGCGGTGAGTGAGGCGGCATCCGAGTGAAAAGGGTTAATCTCGGATTTAATGTGCGAATCAGGTTAATTCGTGTTGAATGGGAACCACGATATTATATACTCAGAATTAGTACGAATCATAGCATTCGAATCGCGTTATACGGTCACTAATAAATATCAATGATATGATAAATTATTAATTATTTTCTATTGAATTGAAGAATTTATATAAGGATACGATGAAAAATGTAACAAAAACTAACTAAAAATCTGTTTTCTAACAAAAAAAATGTAAGAGAATAGATTTTTTTTTGGAAAGGCTAGCGTGCTGCGAACTGCGAATATTATCGGTTTCATAAGTGCCAAACAGCTTTAACACTACTGAAACCGATGTCGTACACATCAGCTTCTATATAAACAGGCAAACACTTTTTACAACATTATCTAATTACTAGAGTCATTACTATTTGTACATTAATAGGTTGCAAGAAAGGAATTCGAAATTTCTTGGCTGTTGAACCACAAAGTAAAGATTTATGGTATGTATCTAATAGTTATTATGCGCGTATGTCGCAGCAATGTCTCCGAAAGGCCATATTCACTTGAGGTCATATTTGAGATCTATGATCTCAAGTGAAACTCCTGATATCATACTGCTTGATACTGAGCTGGCCGAGATTAGGGATTGCTAGCCCACATTTATTACCGCGACAGTATTATGAAATAATAAATGGCTCTATAATGTTTGCCAACTATATTCAAAGAATTTAGCAATACTATAGTTTTTGCAGAATATATTCACTAACTAGGAGAAGCCATTCACAGACTTTTATGAAACTTGGATAACGATAGATTTGGTGCTCAAAATGAACTGATAAAATATTAGATGGTTTAATTAAAATCTTAATCAAAATTTAGAAGTGAGCTCTATTATTTTTTGTATCGATATACTAGGATGGTGATATATACTATATGGTTATGGCGGCAGACTCTCAACTTGCAATTAGTTAAAGTAAGTTTTTGCTTGAAAATACATCATAACATAATTATTTTTCATTAACATTTCCTTTTATTGGAATTATTTCAACGATAAGACTAAATTCTGGTAATTGCATATTTAAGTGACTATTGTACTATATTCAGATAAAACAATAAACCTATTTTTTTTTTATTTACATTACAGGTTTCCTTTTCAGTGCTTAAGAGGTTTGATTGTGATATCTGTGAAAGTGCGTATGAAAATTCGTATTGTGGAACTACTTCGAGCAAAGTATGAAAGGTAAATTATACATAGTTGTTTCATCTTGAATAGCAATAATATAATTAAAAGCGTGAAAAATGTATTATCAAACAAATGTTTATAAACAGTTTCATAATAAGTTTCTCGAATCGTTTTTATGTTTATACTAATTATACCAATATGAATAATCATGTATCATATCGTGCTAAATGGTTATTCTTCATAATTTTTTAGTACCACCAGGTACGACTTATATTCATTATTGTAAATAACTGCGTGAAAAATACTATATTGCGTTTTAGGTACAACAATCGATCGTTCAAGTCAATTCTATCCTTTTTTGCCTTATTTTATTTTTTTGAACAGCAATAAGAACAAAAGAGTCCTATCAGTAGTTACGAAAATACATCTAACGTGTCTATTTTAAAAGGCAGTTTTACATCATTGGCGAAAGGGGTTATTCTCATTTGAAAATATATTTTAATCTATATTTTCAAGTGCAAATACATATCACTACCATTTGACCTCAGATTGTCCGAAACAAGGGTTCGAATATATGACTTCGTGATTACGAAGCCAGGCGCTTATCACAGCGCTACGAACCTTCTATATTGTGGAATTACGTGTGCAATCTTCCTCACAATTAGAATAATTTGCTCTTCGTTGTTTTGTAATATTATCTGATGAAGGTTTCACGAGAACCTTATCTTTTCAGCAAAAAACCCCGATTTGCTAATTATGTTTTTTCGACGTTTCAAGTCATTCACTCGTTTGAGACTGAAATTGTAAAAAAAAATTCTGTGTGTGTGCGTGCGAGTCAAATTTGACCTTTTCAAAAACGGCTGTACTGGTTTCAAAAAATTAAAAGTCATTTGATGATACTCGTTAAGTACTTGCTTATCAGTTTTACGAGACGATCGTCTAAGCCGTTCTCTTCGGAATATGCAAAAAAGTGCAAAATTTTAGTGTCCTATTGTTAGTGATAGTGACAGTGATTTTCATAAATGTATAATTATATCTGGTAAACATTCCCTGTTATGATAGTAGTTCACTGAAGCAAAAAGTTTATGAATTAATCTCATAACACGCAATCAAGTTGCGGTAGTGGCACCTGCAGCGCTGACATTAGACCATTAGACATAATAATTTAAATTATTCAATGGCGTGCGGATTAATATTAATATGTGGATGCACACAAATGAAACTGACAATGAAAATGAATATTTTGTTATGCGGTCTGATGTACATGTAAAGTACGAAATGGATGAGAAAACATCAGGGAAAGTGATATGGTACACGCCAGTTCCAGCTCAGGTCCTCGACGTGTCCATGTGTCCAGTATAGTATGCAGAGGCTTCGGCTTCTTCATGGATATATAATCGCGTAACTGAGCTAGGACGGACATTCGTTTGCGAGCGTTACAGCCAATCATACGAGGCATTATGAAATCATCGGTAATAATTTGATTTATAATATATTTAATAAATAATTCCAACAATGATAATATATTTTAATAGTCATTTTGGAAATTCTAAATATAAAACATCAGTGTTATTTACATTATCCCACTGTTATTTCAATTTTCAGATGTATATTGTTTTGATCATTTTATTCGAGTTTGCGAGGTCGGAAAAAAATGAGGTTTATCAGAACAATCAAATATTACGGAGGGAAAGTGTTCTGAACGACAAATATCTTCTGAACGAAGCTAACGATTTTAGTTCAAATAAAGGCGGAGACATTCGAGTCCAAGCCACCATCAGTGTATATGATATGTTGCCAAAGCAATCCTCAAGAAACGGATGGACGCCGATGGTTACATCAAGAAAAGATGATTCAATTGAAGACACGGAATTAATAGACAATGCTGCCGAACAACATGAAAATAATAACGATAGCGTTCCGGAAATACCTCCACCGCCGGAGCCCTATATGATGGAAATGTACCAAAATGAACCACCGCAAATGACCGCCATCGAGAGTCGACTACACCGTCAAATCGCGAAGATGCAAACAAAGGTAAAACACCACCACCATCATCATCACCACAATCACATCAAAACAGTTTACAAAAAAATTCCAGTCGAAGTGCCGGTGGAAAAAATTGTTGAGAAAATAGTTGAACGAAAAGTGCCTTACCCCGTCATCCGAAGAATTCCATACAAAGTTGAAGTCAAAACGCCACAACCTTATCCCTGTACGCGTAGTTGAAAAAGAATACGTTCATGTGCCTAAGCCTTATCCAGTATACAAGCATATACCAGTTGAAGTGAAAGTGCCCGAGCCTTATCCAGTCGAAAAAAGAGTTCCGTACCCGGTTGAAGTCAAAGTTCCTTATCCGGTGGAGAAGAAAGTTCCAGTCGCCGTGCCTGTACCATACAAAGTAGAAGTCGAAAAGAAAGTACCAGTGCCCATTAAAATATATGTGCCACAACCGTATCCAGTAGAAAAAAAGGTGCCGGTTCCCGTTCAAATTAAAGTTAAGGAACCATATCCTGTTATTAAACATGTACCCTACCCAGTGAAAATACCTTTTGTGCGTCCACAATATGAAAAACCTAGATATTCACAATTCAATAACATACCATATCCTGGACCTCCATATGAGAGAAGAAATAATTATCCAATTTATTTTCAACAATACCAATCTTTACCAGTTAATAGAGAATCAGAAGGCATAGCTCGTTGGCAGGATAACAATGAAAGTGACTTGCAAAGTGATAACAATGCTAATCTGGAAGAAGCTTCATCAACCGCATATGAAATGAGAGCACCAATTCCAATTTCATTCTTTATACCACATGAACCTCCAGTTTCACAACTGTAGAAGTAAATGCTCAGTGTATTGTAGGCTTAATTAAATTGTACAAAATACTTCTATTTATTGACATACTACACATGCAGTGATTGCGAGAAGCTTCAGGCTATGAGAAATTATTTCTGAAGTCCACAATTCATAACATGAAGTTAACTCATGCATGTAAACTTATATATTTTATTAGCATAATAGTTATTGATTGGAATATGTGTAATACCATTTACAGCCATTAGTTACTTACTACACATAATCAATAAAATTTAGATTAGAAATTATATCATGCATTATGGCTACGGAAATTCAATTATTTGATTTACCAAATACTAAATTATTTATTTTATTTATAAAATTAGTATTTGTTTAACAATGACATTAAACATATCAAATTTGTGATTTCATGTTTTTTAGTTGTATACATAAATTGCATTAAATATATATATGATAATTATTATTATTTCATGCTCTTTTTCGTTTGCGATTCTTGTCCATATCTCATGCAGTATCCATAGTTGTAATATTAGTTATATGTAGAAACACATCAGTTTATTGAAAATTTATTAACAATTAGAGAGTACAGAGGTCTCTATAAAAAATATATTAGCGCCTTTTTCGTCCTGCACTATGCCTCTTAGGATTACGTTGCCCTTTGCCACCCTTAGGTTTAGCAGCACCTTTGCCTTTAAGCAAACTTTTACCAGTTTTCTTCCTATTTGTACCCGATTTTTTTCTATTTTCTTCTGATCGTCTGTAAATGATATTTGGTCTAAATTTAATTCAATGCAATAAATTAAAATAAAAATAAAGTTATTAATATTATATAACTTACTCTAATTGTTCTTGATTACAATGTCTTGATACAGCTTTCTCAATATCAATTCTTGGTCTTTTGTTAAGTATTGAATTTATAACTTCCAAATTTTCTGATTTTTCATCAGTTAAATGTGATGGTTTACGCTTCTTATTTCCTCCAGGTATGAGCTGCAATGAAAAATGCAATCAACAAATTTGTTCACTGCTGTATGAATATTCTAAATAATAAATTAACAAACCTCATGAACACCCAGGCCTCTAGCACTTTTCTCTTTAGGTAGTTTTGGTTGGAATTTTCCTAATGATGCTGTTGATGCTTTTGCAACAGAAACAGCCGCATTTAACTACTCAAAACAACATTGAATTTCAGTAAATAAAAAAACTAAATGCAAATATACATGAATGCCAATCTTACTTGTTTCGCAGATGCTTTGTCAGTTGTTGGCAAACCAGTTCTTGGCACTTTTGTACCCTTAGCTCTGGCAATATTCCTAAGTCTTTGTAATTCATTTTTAGCTACCCTTTCCTTTTTCTCGTGTGCTGCTTTAGCAAACTGGTCCTCATTTGGATCAGCATTTTGTGGAACTTCAACAACCCATTTATCTTCTTTCTCAGCAAGGGCAGATTTATAACCAAAATTGGGTACCCATTTCTACAAAAGTGTAAAATGTTGAATTTATGATATATGAATTGTAATGATATATGCGAAAACCTACTTGTAAAGTTTCATGGAACACAGGAGCTTTTTTCCTTTTAACGATCCCTTTCTCTTTAGCAAACTTTTCCCACTTAGTTAGTTGCCTGGGCTTAGGCACAGGCAATGACCTAGGTAGAACAGTAGAAGGTGTAGGTAATCTGGCTACTATTGTCTCTTCAATACGCTCTGTAGGTAATTGCCAAATTTCATTAAATAAGATTTGGGTGTTGTCCCTCGTCAAATTCAATAAATAGACATTTCTATTAGATCTGTAATGAAATAATAATAATTATTAAGTTATTAAAAGTCAATAAAAATGTGTAAGAACTATTTTGGCATGCCTAAGAGATTTGTCTTCCAAATCATTTATATCCGATGCCAATAAAGTGCCTAGATCCAAATTAAGATCTAAATGTTTTTGTACGGTTATAGGTTTATATGAATCTTCTTTCGCCTTATTAAAAATTTCGTTTACGATATCCATTTTAACGTGCAAAACAATAAATACAGCACGTGTGTTTACATTGACATCACAGACTAGGTTAAAATAAGAAGACAGTGATCAGTACGAACACGCCGTTAACACCGTTAACACTGCCGTTTTCCGCTGTGGGGAGAAGGAAGTATCTAATCCGTTAAGTCTGAGATGAACTATGGTGGAAATTCCGTGCTCCGTGTTTCCAATCTGTATATGAATGATAAAACGCTGCGGTCGTAAAAAGAGTATTGTCGTTTTTATAACCATGGTTATCTGCAAATTTGATTATTCTTATTAATGGTTGTGTGTGTATTCTATTAGACGTAATTATGTAAAACATTAAAATGAATTGTGCCCACTTCGTTTTTACGTATAATACATCCTTGTACTATCCATATCTATAGTTTTAGAATTATCTGTCAGGGCATATTTGTGTTGTCAAAATGTTGAGATTTTTGAGTCGACGAAAGGGGCGCAGTAGCTCTCATAATAGTAGTAGCCAAATTAAGTCTCAAAGGATAATAGCTAATAAACATATTGTACAATGCAGGGTAATTCTATTGGATGGTTCAGATTTGCCTGTAGAATTATCTGTAAGTCCATTAAATAGATAAACATTGAATTATTAGAATTTTTTAAATTGAATATTTGCTGAGGTTGTAGTAAGATTTTTGTATTATCAATTATTTTACATATTAGATTATTTAAAGATAAATTCAAGCGCTTTATTTTTACTAGTGTCAAAATGATAAAACCACAGTTCAACCAATCGTCAACTTATGCAATTTATTTTAATACTGTTTTAGAAAAAGGCTGTAGCAGGAGATTTATATGAACAAGTATTTTACTCATTAGATCTTATTGAAAAGGACTATTTTGGTTTGCAATATACTGATGCCAATAATGTTAAACATTGGCTTGATCCAACAAAAGCAATAAAGAAACAAGTTAAAAGTAAATCATACATAAACTTAAATATGTAATACACATATATACATAATTAATTATTATTAATATTATAGTCGGACCGCCTTACACACTTCGATTGAAAGTAAAATTTTACTCTTCAGAACCTAATAGTTTAAGAGAAGAGTTGACAAGATATCAGTTTTTCCTTCAATTGAAGCAAGATATTTTAGACGGAAAGTTAGAATGTCCATACCAAACTGGTTTAGAGTTGGCAGCTTTATCTCTTCAGTGTAAGTTAATAATTAAAATTTAACTTGATAGTACATGTATTTTTAAAATATTAAACAAAATAAGATGTAAAAGAAATGTGTATTCAGGAAACTTAAAAACAGTGTTATATGTTTTATAAATATATTATTGATTTTTATTTCTATGTAGTTATAAAATAATCTTGATGATTTAAAAATAAATAATAGAAAATGCTATTTAAAAATGTTTTTTTAGCTGAGCTTGGTGATTACGATGATTCTATTCACACTCCTGCTACAATATCTGAATTTCGTTTCATTCCAAACCAAACAGAAGAATTTGAAATTGCAATTTTGGAGGAGTATAAAAAGTATAGAGGATTAACACCTGCGCAGGCTGAGGCGAATTATTTAAATAAAGTGAAATGGCTTGAAATGTATGGTGTCGATATGCACACAGTATTGGTGAGAATTTGATAATTACTGAAAAACTATTTCTTGTTAAATTTTACATATGCACTGTTAATCTAACATATAGGCACTTGAGAAGTGGAAAATTTCATATAATAAATGGAATATGGACAATTTTAGTAGAGGTATCAAATTATATATTTCGAGTTATGTTAGATGACTTGTGGCTTTGAATAAAACTACTTATTAATTAGTTATAAACATATGCTTGCTTGAATGTCTTGTTAATTATGGATAATAGGAACCTGAACATTTGCAATAGATAGTCTTATATGTATTGAAGTATTTTGCACAATTAGTTATTGAATTGTATGATTGCTAGGAAGTTGCTTTATATTGCATGAAACATATAACATCTTAGTTTTTTAGATTTTTTGTTTTAATTTGTTTTGTGTATGAACTTAATTACAATTACGTACAATCTTACTATGATATTATTTTATCTGCAGGGTAAAGATGGCTGTGAATATCATTTGGGTTTAACCCCAACTGGCATATTAGTGTTTGAAAATGCTCAGAAAATAGGACTATTTTTTTGGCCTAAAATTGGTAAATTAGATTTCAAAAAGAAAAAATTAACTTTAGTGGTAGTTGAGGATGACGATCAAGGCCGAGAACAGGAACATACTTTTGTTTTCAGGTTTATATTTTTCTAAAATATGTAAATTTACTTAGACGTGGATCAAATAGTATAATAGCTCATTTTGTAGGTTGCATAATGAGAAAGCTTGTAAACATTTATGGAAATGTGCAGTTGAACATCATGCATTTTTTAGACTTCAGGCACCTCTCAAGGGCCCTTCTGCAAGACAGAATTTTTTTAGAATGGGTTCCCGATTCAGGTGAGAAAAGTAATTGCATGTAGAAACATCAACCAGAGTGAGAAGAAAAAAATTTATTACTCTTATTGACTGTGTTTGTGATTTTATTAAATTTTGTTAAACTATTAACTTCTATCTTATATTGCCATCGTATGAATGGAATTTTAATGAAAACACTTTCCTTTATTTTTATTTTATTTTAATCAAAATCATCTAATATCACTTGATATTTTATTTGTAAATAAAATTGAAATTAAAAAAAAGGTAAAATAAATAATGCATCACAGTGTGCTTTTTTGTTCTCATAATAAATATTTTGCATATGGCTTGTGCATAGATTAAACAAAATAGCACTATTATTATTATTATTTTTAAGGTATTCTGGAAAAACAGAGTTTCAAACAACTCAACAAAATAGGGCTAGACGAACAGTGCAATTTGAAAGAAGGCCTAGCCAAAGATTTGCAAGGCGACAATCACATGTTCTTAGAGAACGTCAAAGGTAAAAAGTAAATTTTTATTATCATCATTAAAATGCACAATTATTGCTTTTGCCTATTTTTTTCAAATTTATTAGGCAGCTTGTTATGCACATTCTTATCAGCAAATAATTTATTTTTAAGACAGGTCAACCAGCCATGTGAAGATCCTGAAACCTCCAAAGTGGTCAACGTAACAGGCGATACATGTTCTAGTTCAATAAGTGAACCTTCAAACAAATCTGTTTGTAGTGATAATGATAACACAAATTCCATTGAACGCAAACCAAGGTCACCCATGAAGAGGAGAACATCTTCATCAAGGTATATAAAGTGGTCTTTTTACTGTTCGAATAAATCTGATTTTTATCAATTATTATTGTAGCCCTGGAGTGTCTCCTGTGTCAAGTAACAAGGGTACTTTGTTGAAAAAAGACAATGACACCTTGAAAAGGACTACGCTTTTGACACCAGAAAAATCACCCGAAAGTGATCTAGATACGCTCTTAAAAAGTATTGCTAAGGAAACTATTGGTGGCTCAAGAGTAGATGATCCTAGAAATGATATAGCAAATGCAAAAGACGTAATTAATAAAACACAAGATATTGATAATGATTGCCTGAAAAATATGACATTGGATGTTCCAAATAATCATACTAAAAATGCATCAGTGACATCCAAAACCTTGCCAATTGAGCAGTTGAAGTGCAATATTTTGAAAGGTATATTATTATTAATTTAACATTTGTAATTGTGACAAAAACCTATTCACTAAATTAATGTGTATATTTTAACATCCAGCTAAAGTTGAAGAGGGTTTAAATAATATTTCAACTGGATCTTCGTCTTCATCAATATTATCCAAACAATTATTTTTGAATGCATCTTTACATTCAGATCAGGCAAATAATGATAATCATGATGTAGCTACCCTTGTTGCTGTGGTAAGTTTATTTTATATCTTTAATTCTTTATTAATCTTGATTTATTGTGGTGCGTTTTACTTAATTTGTTTGCATAGCACTGTTTTATTGGCTGTAATGAGATTTAAATTTGTCCTGTGATTTAGATGCATTTCAAATGTTAGTGAACATGAAAATTTGAGTAACGTTTAATAATATCTTTGTTGTTCATTAATTATTGAAAATAATATGTAGTGAATTCCAATTTTTTGTGTTGGTTTTGGTCATTTTGTAGCTCATGTGATTTTATTTTATTTACATGTGTTTGTATGTGTTTATGTTCATTGTGTTGTCTTGTGTTTGTAATTAGCTCATTATTTGTTTTTTCCACCTTTTCAAATTCAGGGTGGTGATAAACTAACTCTGTCCCTCTCTGGAATAAAAAGTACATTTCAAAATAATGCAATGGAACCAAGAATAAGCAAAAATGAGTTTGATAACAAAGTCACCAATGAATTAAGAAATGATGCAAACCTGATTCCTGTAACTGTGACACATTTTTCTGATCAGCGTGGTATAATAGAAAGGGTTGTACTTCCTTCTACAGAGCAGAGCACTCAAAATCGTCCCAGCTTGTCTCTAACAATCGCACCTTCAGCTTTTTTAAATGCATCTAATGATCTCAAAACTCAGAAAAGTGATGAAGATAATACTAATAAAGTATTACTTTTATCTAATGTAACTGAAATTAGTCCAAAAGTAGACAATGAGGTGCCAGTTACAAGCAGCAATAACCCATTTATTAACCCATTCAGTGGTGATAAAAGATCTCATAATGATTCACAAATTCAGCAGAGCTTATCAACTACAAATCCGTTCCATTCTGTCAATTCCAATCCATTTTCTGGAAATAACCCGTTCAGAAATATGGATCAAGCAGTTACGGGTGATGTGATTACTATATCAAACAGTGATACAACTTCATCTATTTCATTAGACGAAGACGCTGTTAAGAAAACCAGCGCCAACAAGGTAAGGAAATATTATTCTCATATTATAATGAAGTCAGAAGGGAAATTGATGTGTGAGACAATTGTATTTGCTTTAATTTTTTCAATTTGTCTCACGCCAATTTTTGCTGCTTCTGTTTGTATTTAATATTTGTTTTTACTACTATCAAAAAACTTTCATCTTGTTTACTAAATTTTTTGCTGCATTTTATGTTCTGTAACGCTTTCAATTCATAAAGTGTTTGTGTTAAATTTGTGCATTTTTATAAAACTCAATCGTGATTATAATTGTTATATATTTTATCAAAATATTTACTTTTTGCGCATTTATACATCCTGCTCGTTCAACAGGCTAATGTTTTATTATTATTGTGTGATTATAATTGTGTACATGTTTCTTTATATGATTCAATTAATATAATGAAATCCTCTCGGCGTTTTGTTCACCTGTCAACTGTGAAATTATTTTGCAGGATACAGTTGATCAGTCCCTTAATCAGCTTTCCCCATGGTTGGTTTCTACTGATGTCGTCTCTACTCCATCGAATACAAAAATAAAAACAAGCACACCGATTGTACGTAAATCTGTAATAATTACAGAATTATAAATAGAGATCAAGGAATTCTAGAGATCAAATTATATATTCTCAAAAAATACTATTTATTATTTGGAATGTGTTTTGACTTTGACAAAGTCATGTATGTGATTGAAAAATGGGCAGCTTATTTTTATTATCTTACAATATTTGTAATATAAGACATACAGTTTTATCTATATACATGATATAACTTTATTGCAGATTATAGATAGTTTATATTTATTGGATATTGTATAAGAGCAAAATAATTTCGTAATTAATCTGTGTATCCGTTTATCGCAACTACCAGTGAGTTATTGAATGTGAATAATAGTGACCTTTCAGTAAATTTTAATGCAAATTTGTATTAAGGTCACAAAAAAGTGCAATCAATTTTCAATAACCACTGCATCTCACTGTAAAATAATGGCTGCAGTTGCGAAAACAGAAGCTTGAAGTTTAGGATTTGTATTATGATGTTACGTTCTTTATATGATGAAAGTAACTTGCCTTATAAAAATTGATTTAGCAGTGCTATACTTTATATACGTTAACATTTTAGTTTCGTTTTTAAACTTAGAAAATGGATGAAAAAGTATTTTTCTGGTATTAGCATATATTATACATATAACTTTTATGTATCAATTCTATATAATGCATTTAATATGTATCTGGAAAGTATTAATATTATTTAAGATTCCTACATAGATATTTATAAAGTTCTAAGTATCACTAAATTTTTACCTATCGCGTACAAAAGGGGATAAACAATTTTATATATTTATATAACATAGAAGATGTATCTATAAGATATTTTGATAATCAAATAGAATTTATTTTATCGCTTTTTAAAATGTATATAATATTTTATCTATGATGTAGTATTTTTGCTACCAGTATTTTTAATTAAATAAAGCAATCTTAAATATAAACTATTTGATTTACTGATAAAATTGATTATCTGAAGGATCATGAAGTGATTATTTTTAAGAATCTGTAGCAGAGAGTATAAAGGGAACAATACCTATATTTGTTGGTTCTGTGTATAGCCTCAGCAATCTATTTTAAACTAATGCGGATAAAAATTTTTGTTTTCGCGAAAAAGAAACGATTTGCTGATTTTATTCTCTTGGCGTTTCAGGTTCTCAATCTCGATGGTTGACCAAAATTAGACAATGTGTGTGTGTGTTTTTTTTTTTTTTCATATAACAAATGAAATGTTTAACACATGCCAGTCCTATATAGTAGAAAAGCCAGTGAACTATTTGACTAACTTGTTTTCACAGAGCTAGAAATTTTTTTAATGATATTTTATTATCGAACCATTAAGAAAGTACAATTCTGGCAGTCATTACGCGATTACGTCATCATCCCTTCAATTTGTGAAAATGTCAAAAAAAATTTTCATGACTTGCTACCACAAGGCTCAAATTTGTAGGGTGTATTCTTTTAACTGTTCAGAAAGTATATGTAAAAAGCCAGCCCATTCTGATGACGCAATCGCGGAATGACTGCCAGAATGGTACTTTCTTAATGGGTCGATAATAAAATATCATTAAAAAAAATTCTAGCTCTGTGAAAACAGGTTAGTCAAATAGTTCACTGGCTGTTTGACTAATAGATGAACCGTCTGGGAATGTTGGGTTCAATAATAATAATATCGAATAAAACCTCCGCTTTTCTTGACCTATCTATCATCGACCTGATTACAAAAACGGCTGGACCGACTTCAAAGATTAAAAAAAAAATTTTGATTAAACTCGATAAGGACTCGCTTTGATTAGTTTTGCGCAACGATCGACTAAGACGTTTCTTTAGTCGCGATTATCAGAAAAGTGCTAATTTTTTCGTCAACATTTTCAAAAAAAATCTTCGATTTGAAAAGTTCTCGTTGGGAATCGTCTTATTAGATCAGCCGGGCTCGTTTCTTTGTAACTCATTGTTGAAACATTTTTTTTATGGCTTTAATGAAACTTTGTGCGATGATAGTCTAATCGAATATCCTATAATATAATATTATTGGCCTACGATAAGGGGTTTAGTTATAAAAATTGATTAAAGTCGGAATACTGGTAATCATTGATTACCATCATTTATTATTTGATGGAACGTGTCAAAGTCGACCGATTTAAAAAAAATTAAATTCATAGTTTAACAGAAGTCTTAATTCTTCAAAACTTCAGGCAATTGTGACATCATTTTTACCGTTGTTTCAGAAATGCTGTTTGCGGATACAGTTTCAATGTTTAAATGAACAAAAGTAATAAAAATTAACCACAATAACCAAAAAATTGTCACCGTTTCACCAAAGCTTTAGATTGCACTTAAAACCTGAAAATTCGAAACAACGTGAGAAATTGTTTTTCAAGACAGTTATGGTCAATGCTATCACCCCGTTTCGGCTTGACGTCGAGTTCTGGGACACCCTGTATAGTACATCGGACTTATAACTCTATTTCTATCGGGACATACATTTTCGCTAGATCGATAAAATGTCTTAATTTTAATCAAATTTATTGCGTATATAATATGCGCTGTTTATAAAATTTTTAAAAGGGCCGGAATACAATTGGCAAACAAATATATAAAAAATAAACGAAAATTAAATCACTCAATCATATTCGATGAATAGTCTTCTAGAAGTATTAGAATAGAAGTGTTTTCTCTGAGAAAATATAAGTCAATAATTGAATTATACGTAACGACCTATTTCGTTACGATTTGTCGGAAACCTTTCGACAATATTAAGCTTATTAAAGCAGCGTGTAATACCTTGGAATAAGTTCAAAATATTTAAATATTGAAATACAATAATACTTTTTGATAGGGTATAGTAAATTTAAGATATTTTTGTTAACATATGTTAAAAACATTTCTTAAATTTACTATACCCTATCCAAGCATTTTAAAAAGTTTAATAACAATATAAATAAAAACATTTGCACAGCTGTTATACACAATTTGCGACATTGACAGTGAGAATTTAAAGTAAATGCCATAGTTTTTTTGAAAACACACTTCGTTATATTGAATTTTGAATGAAAATAAGTGTAGGTGGCTTTTTGCCTTAAGGAAAGTTACAAAAACTAATAATTATATTAACGTATTACATTTTTCTCATGTTCATTTTTATTTAACCGTAGGAGTCAATGGTAATTAGTTTAAAACGCACAACGTAATCATTAATCCAAACTTTAATGAATTTTGATTAAACCACGTTTTGCATGCATATTACGTTTAAAGATATTCGATTAGACCGTAAACTCTATCACTCAGTTGCATTAATATCCCTGATTTTTTTTTTATTTTAATCGTTTCGTGACCAATTGTATCGAAAATTCATTTCACTAAACAGCAGATTAGACGAAGTCACATTTAGTAATTATAAATTGTATATTATGTTGCATTCATGATATGGTATGTATTCTAAATTTAGTTCGTGTGATCTTTCTGAAGTTTTGTGTTATTAGAGAGTTTCTAAAAGTATCTCAAATATAGTGTGGAAGAACCATTGGCTTAACTTCTAAAAAACCTAAGTTGTTGAGGAAAAGTGTCATCACAACAGCTCATGGGATTTTTTTAAACAATGTTAGTTGTCTGCCGAGTATGAAAATGAATATTTAATAATTTTGTACTGATAGATCTTTAATTTTGTGCGTATTTTTTTTGCTTTGCTTGAAATTAAGAACAACAAACAGCAATTTAGCTCATGTAAGCGCAATGTGTATCTCATATCCAATAATACCGTTGCCTTCTAATTGAATAAGGCGAAATGTATAAAACTTATTAGCAAGGGTCAGTCGGTTTCAGTTCTTACTGGCGGCGATCGTGGTAGACGTCCAATGTCTTCATTTAGCTTTCTTCGCTAAAACTTGGAAGAGGTAAATTGTTATCCAAAGGACTCTTATGGAATAAGAATCATCAAAATACTATGCAATAATTCTATTTTATTTAGTGATCAATTATAAAACGGGAGTGATCGGGCATGATGGGAATTAGTTAGATTAATTTAGTGCCCGATATGTTAATGTGAGTGAGTGTCCTACAAACGTGATATTATCAATTCATCGTTGCCTTATTAAATGAAGACTTCCTGGTTTAAAATTAAAAAAATGTGATTTAGGCTTCTAATCCAACAATGTGATATTTTGTGTTTGTTGTTTTTTTCTGGTCATCTTATTTGTCCGTTTGTATGGTCCACATGTACGGTTTCTGTAAAACATTTTTTCTACGATCGCGTCTTTGAATTGCACTGAAATTTAAAAAAATGTGTATTTTCTCATTAAATAAAAATCGTTGATCCAGCAACTATAAGTTCTATATAATATTTACTAGCAGCAAATATTTTTAACTTTTCGAAAATGTTTGTTTTTGTCAAAAAATCTGATTTTGCTAATTCTATGTTTACTCAACGTTTCAAGCCATTCTGAACCGTGTAACTCCAAAATTGAATAAACTTGGTCGAGGTTTTCTTTAATTAACAGATTTTAAAAATTGAAAAGCTATTTAATTCGTATTATTTAATTTTGCGCGGCGATCGACCGAGTCGTGTTTTTACTGTTAGCATACAAGTTTAAAAAATTTTGCCAACTTTTTTGAAAACAATCCTGATCCTATTTTGTAAATTTGAAAACCGTTTAAAGGATATCAGTTGGAAATCATGCTGATTAGTTTTCAGTAAAGATCGGCTGGGCCTTTTCTTCATCATTAACGTTGAAAATCGTAATGAAACTTTGCATAATGATAATATTTATGATATTAACAAACATCTTAAATTATCATAAACTTATAAAAAATGGTTTATTTATGAAAATTCATAATAATGTTTGGTACGACGGGCCGCGCTATTAGGGCATACACCATATATATGTTCTAAGCGTCTAAGTTTTTGCGTACTATAATTAATACAATTACTGATGTTATAAGTTTATTTTAAAGATATCAATTATTAAAGCGAAAACTTTATTTACGAAAAAACAGTCAGAGATTTTATCTAAACAGTTAAATCTCAGACATTGATTAAGTTGATTATTTACACATATCGGAATGCTTATGCAACTCTCTCCGCCTTTGCCTTTCGCCTCAAGACAAAATGCCACTTGCACCTAATTGTTTTGAAGTGTTAAATTTAAACATTCATTTTTGATACTTAATATAACAAATCCGTTAATGATAATTTTTTTTTATTAATTGAGATTGCACGAAGTAAAATAAATTTTTAATCGTCATTCGTCACAGTTTCTGTAAATCCAAATACATCAGTTTATATTTATTCAAAAATCGTGTCCGAATGTCGATTTTATATGTATGGATATATATACTTTAAATTTCATAAATTCATTCGCTATTTTTAGATCATATTTGCATCAGAATCGTTCGACAGATTGAATTAGATTTGAAGCATTGATTTTTATTTCGATTTCTCGATGAAACGAATCGTTTATTAGTAAAGCAAATAGTATGTAATGTGAACGAAGACATCTTAAGTTTTATTCGTATTTGTAGAACATACAGTAGAACCTTTTATTATATTAAAGTTAAAACATAAATAAATGATAGAAATTAATTGCCGGTATAAAGGTAACAATTTATGGAACAATGTTATAGATAAAATAATAAAAGTTAGAACATATCAAATTAAAAAAGTCAGATACTAACGTAAAAATTAAAGTAATGAAGAAATTTGTGATTTTTATAAATGCTCGAATATAATCCTTATTGTCAGTAAAAATTGAAAAAAATCGAGAAATTAATTATTTTTGGCAATTTAGTTTTTACTCTTCCTGATGTAATTTTTCTATGCATTTGTTTTGCGGACTATTAAAGTTTCCCAAGTTTTTTATTGCTGTTTTTTAAAATAGAAACAAATTTGAAATTAGCAGCAGTTAAAACTTAATGATGCTTCTAACTACTTAGCTTTTTGGGAAGAAAGATTGCAATTGCAATTTTCTTATATCGATGATCTTTAATATTAATTGAAATATTAATTTGCTGTATACTTATAAAGATGTTTCAAGTGTGAAGTTTTATTGAAAGTTTGATTACAGGCATTAACCTTTATGGGAAATAAGAAGAAAGATGAATCTGGGGTAAGTTATTGTTATTCCATAGCCTTAAAAATTATTTTTAAATAACTGTAATATTTGAGTTCACAAAAATGTATTAAATCAATTGATTTGTGTCTGTTTTTAGATACCGATCGAAAATGAAACTCCCAAAACTGTTCCGGCAGCGAGTTTGCCGAAACCCTTGACATTACTCGAGAAGAATTACTTATTAGCAGTAGAAAGAGGAGATTTAGCCAATGTCAGACGGTACCAGTAAAATATTATTCTGATACTTAAAATTGTTCAGTTTTATAATGGAATTTTGTGCTTTAAGAATTTTACAGAAGGCGCATCTCACGAAGAACATCAATGTGAATTGTTTGGACAGCCTCGGTCGAGGGGCCCTCATGCTGTCGATCGATTCGGAGAACCTAGAGATGGTCGAGCTGCTGGTCATCATGGGCGTGGAGACTAAGGACGCGCTGCTCCATGCGATCAACGCCGAATTCGTCGAAGCCGTCGAACTGCTCCTCGAACACGAGGAACTGATATATAAGGAAGGCGAACCATATGTGAGTATTCAGTAGAATATTAATTAATTGCAAATTTTACATTTGGTACTCTTGGATGAAATGCTTTGTAAACACATACCTCACTTTGCGTCGTTTCGTTTCGCATTTTTTCGAAGGTACGTCGCCGCGTAACTAATATTAATTTTCAATTTGGTAATTTTTGAAACTTTGTTGTTTTGTGTTGAAGGCTTTATTTTATATGTATAATCTCGGAATAACAAAATGTAATTTTCAACCAGCTATGAAGCTATGAAGATGAAAGCTAACTCGTAAAGTTTTAAATTTAATTTTGGTGTTTTTCTTATGAATAATAAAATGAGTATATTTTCGAAATTCCAACTAAGACTAATTGTAAGTGAGTTATTTTGAATGAATTTTCACTGAATTGTTTTTATTACCTTCAAATTTTTCAATATTTAATTTAATAACTTAAAAATATAATTATGACAGAACTTTGAATATTAGGCAATTATTGTTTGTTTTGAAGTAAAAATTTAAGCAATTTATGTCATTCAAGTATTTTAAAGGATACATTTGATATAAATATATATATTCATATGCTAAAAATCAATTTCATATTGACAAAAAATAATTGTCCAAAATTGAATAAAATATAAATGTTTATGAATTATAAAAGCCATTTTACGCATAATGCTCTTTCCTACTTCATGATGTATTTTTATTTATTTATTAATTTAATTATTAACTTACCGTAGGGCAAATCGAAAATGAAAATTTTTATATATCTTTACATTTCAAAAGTTTCTGAAGTCGTTTTGTAGATGGGACGTTTGTAAAAGGTCCAAAAATGGTAATTCAGTTTTTGAGAACGGAGCGTCCGATTTGAATGATTCATATAATATTTTATTTGTATTGACAAAACGAAGAACTGATGCAATTTTTGGGAAGGCAGGTCTACGGGTTTTGAAAATCGAATAAAAAGAGTGAAAAAAAGCCATTTGGGGGTCAAAAATGATCATTAGACATATGCACAGCAAATTATCAGATATTTTAGAAATAAGAACCAGTTTTGTTCACATTTTCATGAGTCCCATACTAATATTTATCCTACGCGACGCTCACGCGCTTCGATTTGCGATTGCTTTGAAAAAAAGTTCAAAATGTTGAAAATATTTCAAAGTATAAAAAAAATTCAAATTCATCAAAAATTTGAATGTTTTTTTAAAAAAATTAATTTTTAGTACGGGAAGTCCCAGATATTTGCCTTAAAGCACGATGTCACCGCTAGTTTAATTATTGAGTTCGTAATTTTTAATAATAAATATTATTTCACTATTTCGTATATAAAATATTGTAACTACTTAATAAATATTTTATTACAAACAGAGTTGGCAGACGGTAGATCCTGAAACGGCAACTTTCACTCCCGACATTACACCTCTAATTTTAGCAGCTCATAGGAATAATTATGAAATTATCAAAATACTATTGGATAGAGGCGCAACGCTACCAATGCCACACGATTTAAAGTATTCGAAAATTACAATAATTTAAATAAATACATTTACTTTTATAGATATAATATTTAAATTGTTTTATTTCTAGATGCGGTTGTGATGATTGTATAAGAAATCTAAGCGAGGATTCATTGCGATTTTCGTTAGCCCGATTAAATGAATATAGAGCACTTGCCAGTCCATCTTTAATAGTACTCTCTTCTACAGATCCTATATTAACGGCTTTTCAACTATCCTGGGAATTGAGAAACTTGGCATTTTCCGAACAAGTAATAATTATTTTTAATTTTTATATAATTGAACTTTTTTCGTTTTCTTATTACTTCTAATTTTAACAGATAATAACAGCATAATTTAAAAGTATATTTGTATGTCGTCATAATTTGATTTTTCGTCAGCGTTTTCTCAAAAAGTGCTGAACCGATTTTGAAAATTTATAAAATTGTAACTCGAATGATATCGGCCGGGCCTTTTTGATCATAATAAATTGTTAGAATGTTTTCTAACAATTTTAGTGAAATTTTGCACTGTGTATTTGCATTCTAAAATATTATAGACTTACCAGAACCGGTTTAATTATAAAAATTCATTAAAGTGTGAATAATTGGCTACGCTCTTACAATTAGGACACTGAAATAACATATATCTTCAGAACACGTAGAATTAAATGTATTAACTCAATTTTATTTAATAAATACAATTACTGTATATTGATTAGATGGTTTATTTCTATTTGCCTTAAAGCAAAATGCCACTTACTCTTATATAGAAATATATTTCTTCAACGAAAATCTTGTTAAATTTACTGTTTCTTGTTCAAAGGAGTGTAAAACTGAATATCTAGAATTAAGAAGACAATGTCAACAGTTTGCCGTCGATCTGTTACATCAGTCGAGAAGTTCCCAAGAATTAGCAATAATATTAAACCACGATCCAAACGGTAAACCCTACGTCGATGGTGAACATATGAATCTAGCCCGGCTTGAACTCGCTATAAATTATAAACAGAAAAGGGTAAACGCTTTTTATAACATATTATCAAAAAATGCTATTCATTCATTCATTTTCTGATTCATCTCAGTCCGATATAATATATAAATTTATACATAGTCAATTGCTCTATATAGATTTGGTAGTTCGTAGCTCATCCGAATATTCAGCAACTACTTGCGGCGATTTGGTACGAGGGCGTTCCTGGATTTAAACGCAAGAGTGTTACCCAGAAAATTTTTATAATCAGCAAAGTAGCGATGCTTTTTCCATTTTACTGCATGCTCTACATAGTAGCTCCAGACTGCCCTACTGGAAAATTAATGCGAAAACCGTTCATGAAGTTTTTAATACACGCCTCGTCATATCTATTTTTCTTATGTAAGTAAAAGAAAATATTCATTTTAAGATGATTATTTGTTTTTACTAATCATTTTCTATTTTGCACTAGTTATTCTAATTTTGGTATCTCAAAGAGCCGAAGTGAAAGTAATAGAATTTTTTGGAACGGAATCGATGAGAAAAGCTTTAGAAGAGAAATTGCAAAAGCAACGTGGTAATGGGCCAACGTTACTTGAATATTTGGTGATAATTTATGTACTCGGATTTATATGGGAAGAAACAATCGAAATATATCTAGTAGGCATACGATGTTATTTAAGGAATATGTGGAATTTCATAGACTTCACCAGAAACTTGCTATATTGTGCAGTAGCATTATTACGTACGATTGCTTATGTTCAACAAATACGAGAAATCAATAGAAATCCTGATACGATCTATATACCGAGAGAGGAATGGGACGATTTTGACCCACAGTTGATTGCTGAAGGTCTTTTCGCTGCTGCCAATATCTTCAGGTATTGAAATAATATCATGTATACAGGGTGTTCTAGAACACAACGTTAAACCGAAACGCGAGGTCTTTCATTGATAGCAACAATCATGAAAAAAACTTTTGTCAAACTGCAGCCATTTTTTTGACTATTGTGCTTTATTTTTATTATTTTCGTTTATTTAAATTTTTCGTCAATGTTGAAAGGGTATATTAAAAAAATGCTCTGAAGTACTTTCACAATATATTATATGTTTTCAGCGCCTTGAAACTAGTCCACTTATTCTCAATCAATCCACATTTGGGACCATTGCAAATTTCCTTAGGACGAATGGTTATTGACATTATAAAGTTTTTCTTTATATACAGCCTAGTGCTTTTTGCATTTGCCTGTGGTATGTATTTGAACAAAAAAATCATTAAAATTTTTGATATTACACCGATGACATCATTTTAGGATTGAATCAATTACTTTGGTACTTTGCTGATTTGGAAAGGAGCAAATGCTACATACTGCCGGGTGGCCTACCGGATTGGGCAAATCATGCTGACGCTTGTATGAAATGGCGAAGTTTTGGCAAGTGAGGACATTTAATGCATTTACTTTATTAGATATGATATTATGAAATAATTTTGTAATTTTTCAGTTTGTTCGAGTCAACACAATCTTTATTTTGGGCTAGCTTCGGCATGATAGGTCTCGAAAATTTTGAATTGAGTGGCATTAAGTCGTACACGAGATTCTGGGGCTTGCTTATGTTTGGTTCATACAGCGTGATAAATGTTATAGTGCTCTTGAATCTTTTAATAGCTATGATGTCGAATTCTTATGCTATGATTGATGTACGTAGTAAAAAAATTATTTACTAATTTTAGTATGCGTGCTTATTTATTTAATAAATTATTGACTCATAGGAACATTCTGATACAGAATGGAAATTTGCTAGGACGAGACTATGGATGAGTTATTTTGAGGAAAGTGCTACTCTTCCGCCACCTTTTAATATATTTCCTACGCCGAAGCTGTTTTGCAAACTGATTGGAGTTCGTAAGCACAGCCACTTTAAGCGAATGTCTACCAAGGTTAGTGGTGAATCCTATTCACTTATGTATCGTAAAATTTGCACAGTTAACTTTCTTACAACGCAATAATAATGTTTGAATGATGAATGATGAATGATGAATTATAAAATATTCCTCTCCAGAGTCGTAAGAACGAAGAGAGAGAGCGCGACCATCGATACACGACCGTGATGCGTTCGTTGGTCTGGCGCTACGTTTCCGCGATGCACAGGAAGTGCGAGGAGTGTCCGGTCACCGAGGACGACGTCAACGAAATCAAGAGCGACATATCGACGATGCGCTACGAAATTCTCGAAGTTTTCGAAAGGAATGGCATGGACGTGTCGTCGGCCGAGAAAAAAGAGAAAGGTCAGATTTAAAGTAATAATTAGGGGCCCATGGCATCGTGCCTTAAAAAAAGATTAAATTTTTTTTAAAACTTTGAAAAACAAATAGATTTTTAGAATTTTAAAATATTTCAAAAAATTGACCTTTTCGAAAAGTTTAATTTTTATTATACTTATATATTTTGGAAATTTTTTTCTTGAACTTTTTAACTTCCCGTAGGGTAAGTTATTGTCGTCGTCTAAAAATCGACATCGAAAATTTTTACATTTCTCGACGTTTTGAAGGTTTCTGAACATTTTGGCATACTTAAAAAAAAAGGATGTGTGTGTGTATGTATGTATGGATACAATTTTTTGTCCACGTTTTCGGGCGCACGGATCAACCGATTTGAATGGTTCAAAAAACATTCGACTTCTATCGATAGGGAGATGTGCTGATTAGTTTTTGGCAAAGGCAGGTCCAGCCGTTAAAGAGATACGAAGCAAAAAGTGCAGAAAATAAAAATCGAGTTTTTGAGAGAACTAAGCGTCCGATTTCAATGATTCAAAAAACTTTATGCTTGTTTTAACAAAATAATTGATTTTTTTTTTCATTAAAATTTTTTTTTTGTATATCGAAAATAATTCAGATTTTTATTTTAATTCTGTTTTAATATACTTTAAACAAACAATTTCAACTTTGCAATTCAGATTATATAATTCTTATAAATATTAGACAATGTTACGATATTTATAATAATCTATTGGAAAACATTCAATATTCCTCGATCATTTCGTTACTGTACGGGAAATTCCAGCAATTTGCCTTAAGGCACGATGCCATACACCCTACTAGTTTTCGAAGCAATCGCGATACGTTACCTGCGTAGAAGCGAAATACAGAAGCGCGTTAGAGCTGCGTCGCAGTCTAACGGATAAACATTGGTACGGAATCCATAGGAATGTAAACGAAATTTGTTCTTATTATAAAATATTTGTAGATTATCTGATAATTTGATGTGCATATGTCTAATGATCATTTTTGTTCGCCAAATTGCATTTTTTTTTAATTTAATAATGGATCTTTGAAACTTCTAATATTGGATCTTAGACCTACCTTCCCAAAAATTTAATCAATTGTTAATTTCGGAAATACAAATAAAATTCTTTTTGAATCATTCAAATCGGGCACTCCGTTCTCTTAAAAACTGAGTTACTGTTTTTGGCACTTTTTGCCCCATATCTTTGGAACGACTGGATCTGACTTGTTCAAAAACTAATCATCACTTCATCCTATAGGAATCGAATGTTATTTAAATCATTCAAATCGGTTGAACCGTGCTCCCGAAATCATCGACCAAAATTTGTATCCGAACACACACACATACATCAATTTTTTCTAAGGTATGCCAAAATGTTCAGAAATCTTTTTGCCCCGTATCTTTGGAACGACTGGATCTGACTTGTTCAAAAACTAATCATCACTTCATCCTATAGGAATCGAATGTTATTTAAATCATTCAAATCGGTTGAACCGTGCTCCCGAAATCATCGACAAAAATTTGTATCCGAACACACACACATACATCAATTTTTTCTAAGGTTTGCCAAAATGTTCAGAAATCTGTGAAACGCAAAGATATATAAAAAAATATATTTTCGATTTTTTTCAGTTACAATAACTTACCCTACGGGAATAATAACACATGCACACTTACGTTGAGTTTCCTATCAGGAATTCAATAGTAATAAAAACCAAGCATATATTAGGTCAAAAAAAATATTATAACATTAATTTTAAAAATTTATGAAATAAAAATATTATACCAATCCAAGAAAAATCTAAACACAAAATTTGAATAATATTATTTTTAAAAAACGAAAATTTTCGATGACAATAAAAACAGAAACATCCTCATAGTTTTTGTTTCGAAGTAGTACCACTGATTTTCTCTGAATATTTTCTTTATAGCCGTACTAGGTAAAAAAATGAAAATCTGGGAACGACGTCTCATGAAAGACTTCCAAGTAGTTCCAGTGACGACAGACGAAGAAACAAACATTCTTTTGATACCACCAGAAAATGAGACTTCGATAGCTAAGTTCCGTCGAGTTGCCAAAATGGTCGTTGATAACTCTAATGTTCAAGTCGACAAGTGGAATAGCGTAGTTAAAGAAGCTTGCCAAAAGTCAGTAAAAACATGCCAATTTTCATTTTAATAATAATAAAATAATTATATTGTATTGCAATCTTTAAATTCTAGCTCGCAAATAGGGCGGTGTCATAATCGCCAATCGTTCAGAAAACAACAACAATTAAAAGAAGCAATGGAGGCTGCTAAGAAACAAGTATTTTCTGCTCCTCTCCAGGATATTTTAAAGTCGCCGGCAGTTGCCGACAATATTAGATCTTTACAACAACTACTTGAAGGTTATTATTCTTTTACTTTGTATATTTTTACCTAAAAAGTTTATATTTTTTTCGGGGGTAGTGATTAAAAAAGTTTTCTGATAGCTGCAATGAGGAAACACATCAGCTATATACATACTTTGTATATATAAATTTCGATAAATTCAAATTCCAAGTATCCGTTTCAAAAAACTGTCAACGACCTTGACAGGACTTGAATTAAGATCTGAAGTTTTGAAAATTCCTTTAAATTGGTAAATATAAATCGTTTACAGGTGATGGAGAAAAATCTCCAACGATTGCTTGCTCAATCAATCAGAAAACCGACCAAGTCACACTAGTAAAAGAACCTGTAGAAACAAGTGGATCACAGCCATGTTTGGAGCAACCAGATAATACCAAGGTACATTTAGATTATTTCTAGATGATTTCGGTTTTGTTAACTTAAGATAATTGTTGAAAACATTTAGAAACAAATTGTTATACTGTGTTTGTTCTGGTTTAACTATTTGTTTTACTTTTGCTTTATAAATTAAAATTAGGAATTATAATTAGATCAGCATTCAAGTTGTTAATATCTATTTTAATTGTGTAATTCTTCGTATCTTTCTTCGAAATATTTCTGTATGTATAAAAATGTGAAGCTTCCACTAGATGTTTCGTAGTTGGTAAACAAGTTAGTTGGAGATAGCGAAAACAATACTCACTCTTGAGTTATCAAGTGGATGAATAGTGATAATTTGACATGTTTTTTTTTAAATCATACTAAACTGGTATTGCACTCTTACACAGTAATGGTGCGCTTCACGCGGGGGTGTTCTGTCGGATAAAACATCTATAACATCCCAGACTCCTGTCAAAATTTGGATAATTTTTCGACAAATTTGCCCATAATTGCAGTCCTTATAAGTCGAACACCTAATAGTTACAAACACAATTGATATTCATATTTGGTCTTCTTCAAAATATCTCATCTCAATATTTTTGTTTTCTTCTTGCTCAGTTAATTGCTTCAAATGATCATTAGAAAGAGTAGATGCTGTTTCTTAACTCTTTTTATGTTATCTTCCAAATTTATCTCAGCTATTCTGCTAATTTCACTATTTCATTCGCATTTTGGAAAATCCACAGGCTGAAATAAAAGAACGCTAAACAGAGCTGTTCTAAGTGGGGTCTCACTGTAGTTCCATACTTTTAAGAAATGGTTGATCATAGTATACTGTAGTCCAAATCATTTAGTATAACTGCATAACAAAAATGTTATGTATATAACCGTAGCAGAAATTTAAAATATGTAAATACTGATTTTACAAAAATTGTAAAAATCAAACTGAACATTTTTTATAATATCAGAAAACTGAAAATGGAACTGAACAGCATGCTGTATCAATATCTATCTTAGAAGATCAGCCAAATGTACCTGTAGGCACAACGGTTTCAATAATTAATGTTAAATCTTCGCAAGATATCAACAAATTCACAAACATTAAACAAATACCAGAACCTGATAATGTTCAAAAACCTAGTAAATCTGCATCAGGACATAAAGTTGAAGATATACAAATAGCTAAATCTAAACCAAAGCCTGGCTGGATTTAATATGCAGCAATATGAAAGTAATATTTTGAAATTAAAAATACAATATAACATTTTAATGTTATAATATAGATGTATTTCATGTAGCATAATGAACAATATTTTAAGAATAACTATATGTTGTGGATATATTTAAAGTTTTAATAACACACATAGAAATAAAGTATATAAGATAATTATAATCGTGTATACATACATAGTTATATGTGTAAGCGATGATAAATATTCTGAAAACAAGAAGTCAGAATGCATAATTTTAATAACTCTCATAATAATACTAAAAATATATCATAATTAATCACAAAAAGAGTAAAAAAAAATATTTTTAATTATATTACTTATATAGTTTTATTGAGGCCACGCAGGTGCTGTTGCTCCATCCATTTCAGTAGCAACACGATTGTCAGAAAGCAATCGATGGGAGGTACCACCAATGCTAGCTCCACATTCAGGACATTTAGCTATTTGCATAGCCCCCCCACATTCGGTTATGCAATATACATGACCCTGTGGACATGCATACCAATGACCAGATTTGTAATCCCATAGCTTTTACGATCATTCTTTTGTCTTCTGAGGAGACTTCTCCTACAACTTCTATTGTTTTCAGTAATTTTTCTAGTCGATTTTTTGCTACAAGTGCTTGGTCATGAGAAAATATCTGGAAGCACATAATTGCATCAGTACAAAGTTTGTAGGCAGTTTGTACTAGGCTAATGTTTTGATTTTTGACATATTCTTTCTTGGTATGAATTTTGCAAAGTTCAGTAATCCAGTGCAATCTAGAGAGCTCTCGGTCTATATCATCATATAATTGAGCACTTATATTATACTCAGCTCTTGACAAGGCATGTAAAATAATTTCACATTGGGTCAAGAATATTTTTTCAACTCCATTTTCAGTAATTTTGTTATAAAACCTCAGCAATTCCTTCATTATACCATAAATAGCCTCTAATTTGTTAATAGTTATTATATTAAGAGGTATTCGTCGTTTGTTTGTATATTTTTCTTGGGTTTGTGTATTCAAATAATTGATCATCTTCTTCCAAATTTGAGAATCTAAATAATTTGAAAACAAAAATTATAAAAATGCAATGTGAAAATAATCAGCACAATCAATTATACCTTTACTAAAATCCAGGCTTTCTTGTATTAAATCATTAATAATGGCTCTAAGCTCTGCTGTCTTTTTGTCATTTTCTTTTGGCAAACCATATATTTTTGTCTTGCACTTCTTGATATACTCATAGGCCATCTTACAAGCTGTTGCATATCTTTGAGTTTTATTAATAATGCTTTTGCATTTTGGACACTGTTTCGGAGAAATTTCTTGCGACGATGTAGGCATTGAAAACCAATCATCCAATCCTTGATATTCAAATACATGTCCACATTCTTCTAAAACAACAAATCTGAAAAAAAGTTCAGAATAATTGTGAAATATAATGAACTGTATCAGAAATGCATGCAGTATCATAAAATATCATAAAGAATCAAAAACAAAATTAGGTGGAATTAACTTAATCAATTTATATTTAGTTTAGTGATTTATAAGTATTCCGATTTTCCGCAAATAGTTTAAATATTGTACATTATTGTTGTTCGAACACGGCGTATGTCCGAAGAGCGCTTAGATCTTTCAGAAAAAATGTAATACCTCGCATCATCCTCATCTTCATTACCAAAGAAAATTGTTTTGAGTTCATCCTCATCACAAATGCGGCAAATTGGAGGGCACGGTTCACCGCACAGTCCAACGCAATCATGGTCGCATGGCAACTTCTTTTTGCATGGTTCATTACATGGATCTCTGTCGCATTTTTCGCCACATCTCTTGTTGCACTTTTTATGTTCGCATTTCCAAGTGCAGGCCTCCTAAAAGTGTGTATTAGAAGCAGCAATCAATACATAAGAAGCAAAATAAATATATAACTTTGAAATGTAGATTACGAATGTTACCTTACAACTGGCACAGGGCACTCCACATTTCTTCGTACATTTGGAATGAACACACTCATAAGTACACATTTCAGTACATGGTGGACAATATTCACGACAGGGTACTTTGCAACTGAAAATGTTCAAATATTTATGTATAAAATATAATAAATTATTTATGTAGCTATTAAATTCATCTTTGAATAAATTCAGTACCTATGTTGACAAACAAGTACATTTCCACATTGTTCCTCACATGGAATATGTATTCTTCCCTGATAACATTGGGAGCATAAGCCAGCGCATTTGTGACCACATTGAAGATATTTGTTGCACAGTTCTTTACAATTGTCCAAAAATTCATTTGTGTTTGTAATAGCTTCAGGTGTATGTAATAAATGACATGGAACATATGCAAGATGACCACATGGTGATTGGATTGCACTTTGAACAAGAACTTCACATTTTGTAGTGCATGGATCTCGACATGTGTTCTTACAACTATGACCACAAGATAATATTTTTTTGCACTTTTCATAGCAATTGGTTATGTCAGCAGCATCACCGCAGTTCATTTTTATTTTATGATGACACTGTGGTATTTCTTTTATAACTTTGACTTTGCAATTTCCACATGGTTCAAAACACTTCAACTTGCAATGGTGTCCGCATTCCAAAGTACGTTTGCAAGGATATTTGCAAGGGACATTATCTAAATCCTTAGAGCAGTCCATAGTTTCATAGTGAGTACAGTTTTTATATGTTTTTTTTTACTTTAATGGTACAAGGTGGACATGGTTCAAAACATTGCTTTTCGCATTGATGGTCATTTTTGCAACCCTGATAAAAATTCGGGCATGGTTTTGCACATTTGTAGTCAATGTGATCTGGATCTTTGTTTGCGTGGCAATTTAATTCACATTGATGTCCACAATCCAATCTATTAATGCACGGGAAAGGACATGAAAACTTTAAAGGATCCGCTTGGCAAGGTTTTTCCACTTCATGTTTACAAAGTGGTAATATTTCAGTTACTATTTCTCTGCAAACATATAAGTCTCGTTCTTGACCACAAGCCATCATCGCCTCATGACCGCATTTTAATTTCTTCAATACTTGAACACGACAAGAGCTACACTCCTCTGAGCATAAGTTTCTGCACATATGCTGTCTCTTGCACAATCTAACATTCAAAAGATTCAATAATAATAAAAAAATGTATATATATATATATATATATATATATATATATATATATATAATTTATTAATAATTGAATCATTGTATTTACCTAGTGCAAGGTTCTTTACATTTATATTTCTGATGCTCTCTATCAAGTACATGGCAAACACTATTACAATAATGTCCACATGGAATTAATGAACGACAAATTCTGCTGCAGCCACCTTCTGGTGCTTTATTGAAATCTTCTGCACAAGAAATTGTTGTAAATTCATCAATATGTATTTGGCATCGCAAAGTCAGGTGTGGGCCCACGCAATTAATTTTTTCCAATGAATCATTGATTTTAGGCCATATTTTACTGCTGGCAACTAGATTGTCCATATTGCCAACAATGTAGAAACCTTAAATAAATATTGTTTAGAAATTACTTTTGGTAAATGTTATATGTCAATTTAAGAAACGTAATATACCTATCTTCGCTCTTGATAATGCAACACAAACTCTATTCTCAGTTTTTAAAAATCCAATTTTTGCCTCGCTATTACTGCGGACCAATGAGAGCAATATAATTTCATTTTCTTCACCTTGAAAATTATCTACAACAGTTACTTTAACGTCTTCCAACAAATTTTCTCTCCTAATTAAGGATTTTATTAAAAACATTTGCCCTAAATAGGTGGTAAGAATTGTTATTTTTGTGGGGTCATATCCTTGCAAGCAAAGATATCTGCATAGTCTCACAATCAAAGCGGCTTCAAATGAATTTTTTTTTGTAACATTGTCATCATCATTTAGTTGATCTTCGAATACATTATGTTTTATGAAATATAAACTCTTTGTAACTCCTACAACTTCAGGATACTCTAAAACACTTTCATGGTTTTGGAGATCTTCATATATATTGGGGCATACCAAACTTGCAATTTCTGGTCTCATTCTGTGTTGAACGTTCAGTTGAACACAATTCATTTTATTATTCAACATTCTTTCAAATAAAGATATGTCCAAGTTATAATATCTGCACAATTTATATGCCGCTGTTGATGGTTTTAATTGAAGATGATCACCAATAAGTATCAAGTGCTCGCAGTGTTGGGTTAAGGAAACAATAATGTGGGATTCTGGGACTTCTGCGGCTTCTTCAATTATGACAATTGGAATTTTCAATACATTTAGAGAAGCTTGCAAACGAGCTGCACAGGTAGTTGTCATACCAATGACTTTTGCTTCTTGAAGTATTGCTATATCATCAATCTGGCATATTTCAGCATGTTGCTTTTTCAGGTTTTGAATTTGAGCGCTTAAGTGAGTAATTTCATGTTCTATTTTAGTTTTCATTTTATTTTTGAAATATTTATATAGAGACCATTTCTCTTCTCTATTGCATCTTAATCCTTTTCTGGCTATAATTGGTATATTACTCATATTACCAAGAGTTCCATTGGAAAATTCTCTCATACATTCTGTAAACTTATTATAAATTAATAACTTTTCATTATATTCTCTTATTATTTCGGTATATTTAATCATTTCATTATGATCATCAAGCGGAAAAAGTGTTTCCATTTTTTTCCGTAACGCTTGTATATTGGACAGTAAAGACTTTTCATTTACAAAAACTTCCAAATTCATTGAAACACCAGAAATATCTATTAATAAATCATCATCAAAAATTCTGGTCTCTCTCATTGTATCAAAATAATCCTCTTTGCCCAAACCTTCAATTTCTTCGTAATTTATATTATCATCAACTAAATTAGGATGGCTTCTATTAATATCAAAATTTGTAATTTCCCTTTCATCTATATCTAGCAACCAATAAACAAATCTATTGAAATATTTTTTAGGCTCATTCAAACATTCTGGGAAAACTTTGGCATCCCAATCAGCTATAATACACTTATTTTCTTTTATTAATTCCAAATCTTGAAGTTTACTTTGAAAAGCCCTATATGCATCATTTAATTCAAATAATACTTGAGGACGGTTTTTTCTTCTGAAATTACTTAAATTAAATTTATTTAACCTTTCATTTTTTGAACGATTTCCTACTCTAATAATATTTTGTGTGTATGGAATTAAACCTTCTAAAAACTGATCTAGTGCATGGTTAGTATAGCAAACTATTAACATTTGCTTGTCTCTTATATTTCTCAAAAGAATAGAGGCCACTTTCAAAGCAATGTAAGTTTTTCCCGTTCCAGGTGGGCCTTGTATTATTGAAAATTCATTAGTTAAGGCCAACTGTACAGCTTTATACTGTGAATCATTTAATTCAAGTTTTTCAGCATCAGGCCATTGTTTGAAATCAGTTACGTTTATCTCTAAATGATGATGAGTATAGATTTTTCCTTCTTGCAGATATTTTGGTCTATTAGACTCACACTGAAAGTGTACGTGTATAACTATCTTAATAAATTAAGATTAATTAGATAATATAAGATTACTTTAGTTTTAGACTAACCTGAACATTTACCAAATATTTTTGCATTGGAAAATTGTGTTCGGCAAGCCTTTTTAAAGCCTTCAGTACATGAAAATAGGGCTCAAAGTAAATCTCACTTTCAACCATCCAATGTATATCTTGAGATCTGAATAATTGATCTTCTAGGTGAGAAAACTCTTCACATAATTGAACTACTAACTAGAAGTACAAAAAATAATTTACATCATGTAATAAAAATTATAATGAAATAATGATTTTCCATACATAACCATCCATAAGGAGCTTTATATCACGCTCAACTACTGTTCCAAATATTAAACTTTGAAATTTATTAGATGTGAAGCATAACAAGGAGCCAAATAAAAACCTTTTAGATTGTTCCCAATTTGTTTTATTTTTCATAGATTTGGCACTTTGTAATCTATAAATAAATTTTATTAGGATGATCAATGTAAACATATTGATAAATAATATTATTTCAATTACCTATCAGCTTTAAAGTCTACTAAAATGCCCACAGCACTTTTAGATAAATATCGTGAAACAAATTTCACGTTTTTGTAAACATGTATGCTTGATTTATTATTTTTTCTTTTTCCTTCATTATTATTATTCAATAATTCTTGAACTCCTATTGATCAGTAATTAATTAATAGACAATATCAAATAAATAAAATATATATGTATATGTATATATATATATATATATATATATATATATATATATATGCATATACCTTCTCTCATGGGAGAAATAAAATCCTCTCTCAATAATCTAAACTGCACATCTAAGTAATGTTCTACACTAACATAGGAACCTTCTTTAATATTAGGTCGTAGAAATGGCTTTTCATTTGAAAGTATGTCTGCGGGATTAGGATAAATACCTAATGAGCGAAAATTTTCAGGTGGTTCTTCATAATCAATATAGTTCTCTTCTTTAATTTGTTCCTGAAATATTGAAATATTAATATAACAGTAAATATTTCAAATATGTATAATGGTATTTTGCTAAACACCTTTTTTCTTTGATGCTCCTCAAAAGTGTAATTAAACTTCTTTATAAAATCATCAAATTCTTTTAATATCTTTGGATATATTTTGGCTTGATTGTTTGGAGTTTGGATACTAATATTGCAGGCGTGTACTATTTCATATAGCCTGCTGCAAGCGGTATTTGGTAATAATAGAAGAATATTATTAAATAAGTTAATCAAAGAAGACCAAAACGAATTCATATCCTGATAATAGGAACTGTTCATATTTTGTTTAGATTCATGTTGAACAGCCAAATTTATTACATATAGTTGTAAATTCTTGATAAATTCCGAATTGCATATAAAAGATAAAAATTCAGTAAAACCAGTGTCACAAATTTTTGAAAGAAGTTTGACTGCCAATACTATTATATCGGGTTTCATAGGTGATTTGTAAAATTTATCAAATTCTTTCTTTTTATCTTGTAACACCACTAATATATCTGCAGGTTCCTTCTGCAGTGTTTGTTGTAGAAAATTGAATCCTATAAAAAATTCATTTGCAGTGCGTTTTTGTAAAGGTAGATGGGATAACGCAAAAGCTTGTTTATCTCGTTTTTCACCTAATAAACAAAATATTATTGAAATAGATTTAATAAATTTATAAACATATAATAAATATTAGAGAAGCAACAATCATTTTCTTTCAAGTAAAATAAAAATAATTTGATACATTTTATTAAATTATTGCTTTAACACTTGTTTTTAAATATATTATTTTAAATATTTAGTTGTTAGTCATAATGTTATCATGTTTGCTGAGTGGCTCTTATTATTCAATGCACTGGATTACATTAAGGTAAATTGTTTTCCAAGTGGAAAAGTTATCAGATAAGATAATAAAAATAAATTAAAAGCTTGGTATGTTTTCGTGAACATGTATCAATGTATAATACACAGACAGGCATTATCCACACACAAAAAATATTGTATACTCACATTTGTTTCTATCTGTTTCCTTTGTGAAAAATGTATTTGTAAGTTGTTTAAGTTATTCCTTCAATGCTTTTTTTATCACTTGTTGTATTGTTTTTAATCTTTTCTCATTCCTCCACTTTCGAAAAGCATCTGCAATAGTACTCTGATTTTATTATATAAAAATATAATGAGGACTAACAAGGTAACCATCAGGTTTACTCTTCTGGGATTTTGATGAAATTTCACATGGTTATAGAGTTGATTGTCAAACCGAACACCTTTAAATATTAGAGTCCTATGAGAAGCGGTTTAATTATAAAAATTAAATAAAAATTGAATAAAGCTGCGAAGAAACGGAGCGCAACGCGCGTAGATATAGGGCTTAGCGCGTTTTTCGTAGTTTTAATCATTTTTATTTAATTTTTATGATTAAACCGCTTCTCATAGGACTCTAATTTTAAAGGTGCTCGGTTTGACAATCAACTCTATAATCATGAAAGTTTCATCAAAATCCCAGAAGAATAAAACTGATGGTTACCTTGTAAGTGATACCATTTACTGGTAACAATAATTAAATACAGAATTTCAACACAGTAATTATTGCAATATAATGAATAAGCAAACTTTACAAACCAGTTCTTGTATTTGGTTTTTCAGGAATAAATCTCTGTCCTGGTCTCCTCGGGATAGCACCAGAACCATTTCTTATAATATTTGCATCTGCTGCTTCCTTATTTCTTTGAGAATCACGCCAATCATCCATATTGATGGATAATTATATAAATATCTTCATCTATTTTTTCTGTTTCCTTAAAGTAATTAAATGTGAACTAATGTGATATACATAATAATTATTAAGAGCTTGAGCTATTCAGCTCAAGCTTAGTTTTTATAAAATTTAACGAAATATAAGAGCTGATTTAACTAACTAAACAATTACATCATGCATGAATTTAATATTATCTTTGTTAGGCAATTATGATTTTGCCTTACCTGATTTTAAATCAAAATAAAAACAGAAAATTATAGTAAGTTAACACAAAAACTAGTATTAACAAAAATACACTCGACGATTTCTGAATACAAACTTAGATTTTACTACACATTAGTAAAGATAACGACTGTTAATAATTCGGGGTTTCACCGATATGTGTTACACCCATCCATATACTTATGCACTGCTTCTTTTATATATGCGTCACAATGATAATGGGTATGTTCAATGTGCAATCGCTGATTCTCGCTCGCCGCAATTTCATAATTTCGTCAATGTAGTCTCTCTAACCACTCTTTAACTTATTAAAATTGCAGTTTAATCTGTCTCTAATCGTTAAATGTTAAATAAATGTGGTTTAAATGGTTGATTTATTAATTTTTCAAAGAAGAAATTGACTTTTTCGCCGACAAACCCGACTTGCTAAATTTATGTTTTTTTCGGCGTTTCAAGTTATTCTAAATCGTATGAGACCGAAATTGGAAAAAGTGTATATGATAAAGTAAAAGATATATGAGCAAAAATAGACCTTCCGTCGACGTTTCCTCAAAAACGGAAGCAAATGAAATTGATCCACCGTTTAAAAAAAAATTTAAAGCTATTTGATGAAACTCGATAAGAACTAAATATGTTTTGCGGGACAATCGGTCGATCTGTTTATTTAGAATTAACAAAGAACAATTCTCTTGGTGAATCAAATAAACAATACATTTTTGGTATTCGTAAGACCGTTTTAAATAGCAAACGTGAGTAGTTACGCGTGTAACGCATTCTTTTGTCAATCGAATTAGAAGTATAACTTCAAGAATATACATCGCAATTATACGGCCTCATTTTTGGTATGCCAATAGATTTCAGTTTTTTTAGTTCTCCTTAATATTAAATCCTTACATCCTTTGGAAAATTTTGTTCTAAAATGTAATAAAAAAATCAGAATGATTATTTGTTAATAACTAGTGGTGTATGGCATCGTGCCTTAAGGCAAATTGCAGGAACTTCCCGTACTAAAAATTGAAATTAAAAATAAAAATTCAATTTTTTTTTTGAACTTCCCGAAGGAGAAGTTTATGTTTTCATAAAAAAATCCGAATCGCTAATTTTATGTTTTCTCGACGTTTCAAGCCATTCTGAATCGAATGAGACCAAATTTGGAAAAGTATGTGTGTGTGTGTGTGTGTGAACAGATTTTTTGCCGTAAATCGACGTTTTCTCAAAAACGGCTGGACCGATTTCAAAAATTTAAAAACCACTCGATGTATCTCGATGAGTACTATTGTTTGTTAGTTTTGTGCGACGATCGGCCAAGCCGTTTCTTTATAAATCGCAGAAAAATAAAAAAAAATTTGTCTACGTTTTAGCCCGCAATTCTAAATCAATTTTGAAAATTCAAAAACCGTTCGAAAGATATTAGCTGGGAATCGTGCTGATTAGTTTTTGGTAGAGATCGGCCGGGCCGTTTTCTTGTAATAAAGTCTTATAGAATTAGACTATAATATCATGGTCTTATAGAACTTACTGAAATATTACGGCCTTACGACAAGTAGTTTAATTTAAAAATTCATCAAAGGTTGAGAAAATGAATTTTGACGTTTGTTAAAAATAAAATTAGATAATTTAGTTGGTATAACGATAGTGTATTTGGTCTTGAACATAGTAAACCATTAAAGTCCCACGGAAACTGGTTTAATTATAAAAATTATTGATTTTTGAAAATTTGCTTTTAGAAAATACTCCGAGATAACGTGTTCGTTCGTTCGTTTGCAATGATGTGTAATAAATCCACTCAGAATACTTATAATCACTCATAAATTAATTTATTTTTTATTGATTAAGTCGATTATTTACACATTTCGGGAAGTTCATGTAACTTGCCTCAAGGCAAAATACCAATACCAACTAGTTTAACTTCGAAAAAAAAAAAATTTGAGAATTTTGAAATTTTTTAAGAAAGTTGACCTTTTTAAAAAATGAATTTTTTCATACTTTGAAAATTTTGAACTGTTTTTCAAAGCAATCGCAATTGGTACAAATCGAACCAATCGCAATTGGTACGGAACCCATAGAAACGCAAACAAAATTTATTTTCATTATTAATGCATATAAATTTATATGCAGATGTTTAAACATCTGATAATTTGATATACATATGTCTAATGATTATTTTTATCCGCCGAATGGCATTTTTTTTGTTTTTTTTTTTATTGGATTTTCGAAACTGCTAGACCTGTCCTCGCAATTAGCTAGTTCTTTATTTTGTCAATACAAATACAATATTACTTTTTGCTCCGTATCTTTGAAACAGCTGGACCTGCATTTGCCAAAAACTAATTAGTACGTCCTCTTATCAATAGAAATCGAATTCAAATCGGTCTTCTCAGAATTATCGAATTCTCAGAATTAAAAATTGTATCCGCACATACATACCCTAGACAATATCATACATACATCTTTGTATATTTTTGTTTTCTGAGATATGCCAAAATATTCAGTAACCTCTGAAACGTAAAAATATATACTATTTTCATTTTCAATTTTTTTGCGATCACTATTACTCCAACCTACGGGAAGTTAATTAATCATTATTATAAATGAAAGATAAATTATTTATTATTTATGAATGTGTAGTCGCGACTGCATTTGCTCTATTTGAAAATAAATTTCTTCACATGATGTTGGTGATATTGGTTTCCTTAATGTCCATATCTATATAATTATTTATCTATGGTCCATATCATCGCTGTCATTGCCTTTGCCTCTTCTCTTCTCTTCGCTTCAGTTAAGCTTTCTAATCTCTTATCTGTTGACGTTCACTGCGATAGTGTTGACAAAAGGATAGAGTAGGCTAGTAGAGATGATAACCTGCGTTAGAAATAATGCGTAGTATATTTTATGTCTTCCTATATTACTTATTTTGTATTGTTTCTGGTGCTAGTACGTAAAATATTTCTATAATGATTTTGTGAATTAATTGTTTTAGTTTATATTATTATTCGATTATAATAATTTTAGGTTATCAGACGTGCAAAGTCAATATATTAACAGAAAAATGCACTCCGATCAATACTATTTGCACACAAAATACAGCTAGTGAAGATTTTGGCTCATGCAAATGCATAGATAAGTATCAATTTAATGAACATTATACTTCCGACAAAGATTATTGTAGTCTCATAGAAACAAGTACAATTGCAGAAGTTGATATAACTTCCAATGATATATCCATAGAAAAAACTCAAACCTCTGGGTACTCTAGAGATATTTTAGTTGCAGTTCTGACTGTGATTATTTTAATATGTCTTACTTTACCTGCTGCATTTATAATTTACAAATATGGCATATACGACTGGATTTGTAGAAAAGTTAATGGTAACAGAATGCTACCTCGATATGAGGATGTGATGATAGGGCAAGAAGATACTGACGATGATCCCTTGCCATAAGTGAATATTATAATTTTATATTTTCTTGATCTCCTTACAATGATGTAGAATATTGCCTTCAAGTCATATGTTGTAAATAGTTTTACAAAATGATAATGTTATTTATCTATTGAATATATGTATGTTTATGTAATTTATTTAAATATTAATTTATTAACAGATGATGACTAGAAGTCACAATTGTGTTATTGAAGTTGTTGCATGTAAATGAATTATTTTTAAATAGTTATATTCAAATAACATGAAATAAATTTTGTATTTGTGATTGGTGAAAGTGATGGAAATATTTTGTTGAATACAAGCATATACATTATTACAAAATGAAATGATATATTTTTATAATTTCAAAGATGTACATCTTTAGATATTAAAACTTTTTTTTAAATCTTCTCCTAATTTATTTACATATGTTTAAATTATGAGGGCGTAGGTCTTCCTTGTGAAGTCCATGTTGCTGATTCGTACAGAATCATATTCCAGATCATAGATAAAAGAAGTATATTGAGATATAGAATTTTATCAGTTTGTTTCACAGATTGCAGCTCAGTTTGTATATCAATAGAAAATATATATACCGAAGTTAACTGAAATTTTGTTAATCATTATCAAAATATGAATGCATACACAACATAAATATTTATATTTGCATATATTTATTTGTGTTAACTTGTATATATGTAGATAATAATTGTAAATCATTTTCTCAAGAAATAATTGACTTCGTATAAACTTATATTTTTGTATGTTGCTATATTTAAATATTTTTTTCTTGGTAGTAAAAGGCACCAAATTCAAATTTCGTATATTTATATTCAGAAATTTGGTTATCTGCCATCTATCGGTAGCCGTTTTCGGTCACCACAGCCTTGTCAGTTGTTTTCGCCTACATTGTCCATTTTCGTACATCTTCCGAATGGAGATTAGTGAAAAAAAAATCATGTACTATCCTGCTTATGAATCATTGATAAATTGTGATAATTCTAAAATAATATTTACGATACGCGAGTTTTAAATAGAGTATCGTCGATATTAATCAGTTACTAGTTGCATTTAGTTTCCAAATAATGTGAGCAGTATGAGATTATAACAAGATGGTTGACATTCTGTGTGATGTATATGTTAATGAATATATGGGTTTAAATACGCACGTTTGATATGAAATAAATAAATGTTTTTGGACTACATTGTTTAGCCTAATATCTGTTTGGTATTCTATTGCTGAGGCTGCACTATATTTTTATTTTTTATTAGCTTTGGTAAATTGACAGTCAAATGTGTAGGTTTTTGATTTAGAATATTAACGCGTAATAAAAGTAAATTTCTAATTAAAAAACTATCATGAGTGTCAAGTACATGTTTTTTATGAACCTTTACTAAATGCTTTATTAGTATTTCAAGTGATTTTCTATTTTAGTGACAAAAATGTTAATTTTAGATTCAACTTGCCAAGTATAAATAAACTGTTACATTAATATGTTAATAATGTCTTGAGTGTGCTTCGAACATTTCTTTTTAAAAAATGAATTTATATATTTACTTAAATAAGAGATAAATAGTAAGTGTACTGCTTAAATATGTCATTAAAACCTGTATCTTTGGATGAGTTTATTGGCCTGCTGGGTAAAACAGACTTGAGGCAGCGTCAGAATTTGGCTGATGCTCTTGTTGCATATTTGGCCGATGATAATAATTCTCTTGAATGTGAGGATTTAGGTCTATTAGTAGATGGACTTTTACCATGGTTAGATGGTGGAAATTTTAAGGTGACTTTTACTTTTGTTTATTACTATTTTTAATATATATTGATATTACAAATATCATAAATTTAATATTAGCTTATTAGTTGTTACAACATATAATTGTTTTCAACATAGTTTTACTTTTATATATTGTTCTGTAGCATTACTTCTAATTCATATTTTTTATGGATTCTATAAAATTATAGTTACATTTTGATTTTTAAAGTTTTACACATATCATATTTTATATATCGCAACATTAACAAATATGTTTTGTGTGTATTTGAGTATTATTCTTAATAAAATAATATTTTAGATTGCTCAAAGCACTCTTGAAGTATTCAATGAATTAATCGGACGCCTTGGAAGTGATTTTAGTGCTTACGCAGCTACAGTATTAACACACATCATAGACAGGTATAAAAATTATGATATATAAAAATATGATTAATTGCAAAAAGTATTGACATGTACCTGTAAAAAAAGATAAATGGAATAAATTAAACAAAAATGTTTGATTTAACCATTTATGAAATATGATTACACATAATGTTAAACTTTCTTAATATTTAATTTGGATTTAGAATTGAGAAAGCTATTTGGAATTATGTTTTATGTTAGATTATTTTATGTTAGAAAATCAACACAACTTATATCGATATGTAACTATTGGGACATAAAATATTATGTTGAAACTTTATTACATTTGAGATATATTTTTGTGATATTTAATAAAACTTTTAAAAGATGTTATTGCAATTTAATTTACATTTATCTTTTATGCAATAGGTTAGGAGATTCAAGGGAAACAGTTAGAGAAAAGGCTCTTATAGTATTGCAAAAGTTAACCGAATGTCAAGTCTTTAGTGCACAGGTTTTGCTGAGCAAATTAATCCCATATTTTAAACATAAAAATGCTAAACTTCGAGAGGAAGTTTTGCGATGTGTTGTGCTCACACTCAATGAGTATGTTCATGTTATCTACACATTTTTTAATAGAGTACATATTTTAATCTATTTTTTTTTAACAAAAAATTTAGGCATGGCAGTCAAGCACTTTCACTTAAGACATTTATTCCTTGCATAATGAGCTTGTTGAGTGATCCAAATTCTGCTGTCCGTGATGCCTCTATCAATACTCTAGTCGAAATATATAAACATGTTGGTGAGAGGTTGAGGGTTGATTTAAGGAAAAAAGACATACCTGCACCGAAATTAGCATTATTGGAAAATCGGTTTGATGAGGCTAGAAATCTTGGATTACTGTTGCCTTCTGCAATGGGTAATTAGCCTTTTTAAAGCTAATTTTATAAGTCTGTATTATTTGTTTATGCCTTTACTTATTCAGTAGGTCCAGCTGATGAACCTGATAATTTAGTAATGCAAAGACCAGCTAAACCAGTGAAAAGAGCTGCTAGTATGCCACTGAAAAAGGGAATTAATAATCAAGCTGAGACACCCGGTAACATATTTCTATAATAATAAACTTAAGACACAATTTTATGTATATATACATATATATATATATATATACTAGATGACCCGACAGACGTTGTCCTGTACCCATGTCTAAATTTTTTTACTATAATATACTATTATTTACCGTTTACCTAAAAATAATAATTATTGTTTTTTAAATAACTCTTCACGCCAAAATGCATGTACATTTATAATATGAGCGATGTTAAATGTTGAGTTGCTTTAAATAAAATGATGAGTCTTAATTCTGATACATCTCAGCTGCTTTTTGGCAATAATAATGTAGACATTTCATTTTTCTTATTCATAATCATAAATTTATTATACATATTCTAACATTGTCTAGGCTCATAAGTAAATTGAAATTTTTGACAGATGATAGTTTTCATTTGTTTTCAATGCAAACAATAACATGTCGTTGTTTGAATTTTTTCTATTTATTTCTACAATATTGCACATACATCCCAGTACTTTATAATCACATACATTCTAGAAAATTTCCTTAACAAACTTCAGAAAGATTTATCAAAATCCGAATAATCGTTTAGAAGGAGTATACAGTGAGTGCTTGTAATTTAATATGAACTTTATATAATAGCAATAAAGCTCAAATTGATTCTACGTTTTAGTTAGAAAACGTTTGTATGAGAAAAAGAAAAGGGCTGTTTTGAGGGTTTTCTCGGCAATTATTCGATTTTTTCTCGCCGTAAGAACCATCCTTGGTCTTCAACGAACATTTTAATAAAATAATTTGCCAAATTCGTCCAGGCGTTGTTGAGTTATGCGCTTACCAACACATTTTGCGATCCATTTTTATATATAAGATATATATATATATATATATATATATATATATACCATTCATTATCATTCTAATGAAGCTTTTTTTTATTATCTTTTCCTATATATGAATGGTGCTATCAAAACAAATTTATTTGCACTTTTATCAACTGAATGATACAGTTTTATATAGTATATAATTGAGAATATTTTGTAGGTGAGGCAGGCTCAGTGAGCGTAGAAATATTTGAGAATTCATTCGAAAATGTTCCACGAATAAATCTATTTTCACCTAGAGATTTGGATGACCACATTAAAGTTATAAAGTCAGTTATTGGCGATAAGGATATGGCTTGGGAGAAAAGAGTTGATGCGGTATGTTAAATCAAGATTTATTAACTTATAAGAGCTATTGTTGTTCTGATGTCAAATACAGTTTAACAATTAAAATGCTTAATTTTAGCTTCGTAAAATAAGATCCTTACTTTTGGCTGATGTGATGACATACCCTAGCTTTATGATGTACATAAAAGATCTATCAATTTCTTTTCTTTTAATTATAAAAGAATTGCGATCTCAAGTTATTCGAGAAACTTGCATCACAATTGCTTATATGAGCAAAGTCATAGGCATTAAACTAGATCAATTTTGTGCCTATATATTAAACGATCTAATTGTGACTCTGATCCCAAATGCTGCCAAGGTATATATTATAAGCTCATATTGTTTAATTTTATATGCGAAATACAATTTTCAATATTTGTTGCTTCATTGTAGGTGATATCATCTGCTGGCACGTTAACTATAAGGTACATTATTCGATATGTTCATTCCCCTAAGTTAATCCAGCCCATTGTACAAAATATTATTGTATCAAAATCCAAAGATGTTCGAAGTACATTATGTGATATATTAAGTGAGTTACTCGAGCAATGGAGTACTAACTGCTTAGAGAAAAATGTGTTACCTATTAGAGACGCAATCAAAAAAGGAATTGCTGATGCTGATCCTGATGCTAGGAAGTATTCCAGAAAGTATGTTAGAGTTACATGAGCTTGAAAAATGCATTAATTGTCTGATATTCTAAAACAGAAAATACAATGACCTTTTAAAATCTTTTGCAGATCATTTTGGCAGTTTAAAAGACATTATCCTGATATTGCTGATGCTATGTACAATACTTTAGATATAACACAACAGAAAGCCTTAGACAGGGAACACTCTGGGTCAGCTACAAGCAGTATTCGAGGAAGTAATGGTTTCCTGCACTCTTTAGGTGCAGGTAAGCATCCAGTTATCAGGGGTATGTTTTAAATAATAATCGGATTAGGATTTTATTAAATGCATATTTCTTATTAGCATCTCACATTGAATAAAAATAACTTTGCCTTATTTGTCAAATCTACTAATTTAGTCAATTCACATATTGACAAATCTATTTGAGCTGTTAAATTTTTACAGAAAGGCGATCAAGCCAAGGATTGAAAAGTCCAGTTTCAACGCACATCACCGGTAAGTTAAAACTACTTACCTTCATTTGAGATTAATATAATTACAGTACAATTTGAGAAAATAAATTTCAATTATTTCCATGCTTCTTAAACTATTTATGGATGGTTTGTATTAAATATTGAAGGTAATACAGGCAGTGCTGAAAATCTTTCAAAATTGACTAGAGCACCATCTTTGCCTCATTCTTTTAGTAGAAAACGAAGTCAAATTCCAATTGCTCAAAGAGAAGGTTATTTAATCAAACTTCATTACACTTTTTGTATTGAGTAGTAGTGGTCTGCTTGTATATTTAAAATGATCCAATGATGCTGTTTATAATTTTTTATACTAATTTCATAATTGTTTTTATGTCTATGATCAGATTCACGGGCTATTGGTGGATTCAGGAGTGTGTCAGCCGTGGACACGGCAGCAGCTCAACGAGCTAAAGCACGATTACAATACTCAAACATGGCTAGAATGAAAGTAACTTCAGGAACGGCATCACTTCGTAAGCATAACTATTTTTTACATTATTTTATTACTTGAATATTAAACGACACTTTTTTCTCAATACTCCCTTATGTAAAAATGTTCAATTATTGTTTTTTTATTGTAATTTCTATTACTCTGCTAACCTATAGAGGGACAGGTAGCCCAACAAGGTAAATATTTTTTCACAATGGAATAGCTTTTGAAGTTATGATATGATTATTATTTAGGAAAGTATTTTTAGTGTTAAATACATTATTAGTTTTTTTTTTTTATTATTTTCAGCCAGGGCACGGAAACAGACAACACCTAACACAAGAGTCATGCAACAGTCCCCAGAGAGGAGTGCTCGAACTAGAGGTCCTGGAGTTTCTCATTCACAACGTAAGTTATTGATTTTTCAAATTGATATTTCAATCAGTTTTGAAATATGTTCTAATTTATTGATTCTATTTTTTATAGCTACATCACGAAGCACATCACCCTCGTCTAGGCTGCATGGAGCTTATGGAACATACTCTAACCATAAGTCTTTAACGAGTGCAAAAAAGAAATCATCTGGTATTCCAAGATCATTAGCATCATCAAGGGAAACTAGTCCTACAAGGTAAAAATATCTTATCTAATGTATTTTTTTTAACTTCTGAATCAAAAACCTCCTGTTTCTTCAAAAACAATTTATTTAATTTGTTCAATTATTTTTTTCAATGTTTTGGGGATTTCGGATGCCCTCTTCAGACAAATGAAGAAATAAAAAAAACATATGAAGAAAAATAAATTTTATTATACATTTATACACTAATTTAATTATTATAAAATTCAAATAATTCTTTTACTTTAATCACTCAACAAACATCATAATCTTTGTTTGAAAATATATCAAGAAAATTAAATTAAATATCAAACATTAACATCAACAAAATTAGTGTTTATTATATTGACATAAAGATTGCAGATTATAGTATAATAGGATCACATATGACAAACACATTTGGAAAAATGTATTGTATTGGTGTTCTTTCAAACATAGTTTCGTCATTAATGTAAAAGACATTGGACAAATATCACACATTAAAACGCACCAGAAACTGTTTGAAAATATCAAGAATATCCATCTTCACTTTTCTGTTTACTATTTAAAAATGAAAATTTACGAATCACTTTCTTAACTTATTAGTTATCTTTTACACTCAAGTAATAAATGAGCTTTAATGCCAACTATTGTGAAGAAATACAGTGCATAACTTTTTTTTAGAAGTATCACTATGATAACTTATTTCGTAAATTAGTAAAATTTTTTTAAATGTCTCAATTATATATAAAATATATCTTATTTTATATGACCATATTTCAAAGAACTATTTGTATGGAAAAACGCGTTTCTTATAATGAACTTTGCCCCAGAACGATTTTATTTATTTATTTATTTATTCATAAGCAAGCCGTAATCAATAATAACACAGGCCTACAAAACATTTTTTTTTTGTTTGGGCATCAAATTTCAAATCTGCAAACCATTTTTTTGTATCAGCTCTAGTTTCGAACTTAGAAAAAAGTTGTCGAAACCAGGTCCATTCTAGGTCGTCACGGAAAAGAACTTTTCACAGTGTCAACTAATGTCTCAACTAAGGCCGAACGGGTCTTGTAAGTTTGTATATACGAGTAGGCATATCTTATTAAAATAACATTCTTTCATTCCTTATATATCATATCTTGAAAACTAAAGCTCATAGAAAAAAAAACAATGTCGTTTTTGAAATCAGCGCCCCAAATTAACTACATGATGCAGGGTATCACTGTACAATAAATTTAAGAACAGATAGAAAAACATTACACGATTCTTACAATTTTTCAAAAAAAGTTACGTTTTATATTTATAAATTTTTAGCGGACATGTAGTAATAGGGTCACCGACGACAAACATATTTATTCTTGCGGCGCGTCTACATTGCGGCATTCGCGCGCCGCTCGGTGGGCGGAGCCTACGTTATGTTAAAATTCGCGCGGTTTGAAAAAACACGAATGGGGGAGGCAATGCACGGATTCGTGCAATGTATACGCGCCATAATTTCATTCTAGATTATGAACTTGCGTACCACCAAAATGAAAAATCTGTTAAATAAACGATTCGGAATATTTCAGTTTTAAATAGTGATATATTTTTTTTATATATGTATATGCTTTCAAACATAGTTCTGGTGTGTTTGTTGAGTGTCATTAAGATAAAAAGTGAATTTTGTATATTTTGTAATTATTAAATAAGTATAAATATACTTTTTTATTTTTTTATTTAATATATATACTTTTTTGCATTTGTTTTCAATAGTTCCTGAAGAAGGGACAGAAGGTTCCTTTTGTTCAGGATTTTAAAAATAATAATTTTGAATTTCCACAAAATTTAAACATATTTATGTATATCATTTTATATATATTTATTATTGCAGAACTGGATCATATCGTCGAATGCTTTTTAATAATAAACGAGATAGGCCGCCTATAAATCCAAATAAACCAGTAATGGCTCAAAAAATATTACAACAAAGCAGGGAAGCTGAACTTTCTCTTGCTGATGCTTTAGTAAATAACGTTACATTACATACTATTAATATTTCTAGTATTTATGTCTTAACATTATTTTTTATTGCAGATGGATGATCAAGATCCACTAGATGAAATGTCACGATTATCATTAGGAAATCGTAGGATCAGTTCTGGTGCTAACACAGGAATGATGCGTGACGATCATAGTGATGATAGTGAAAATAGCTCAGTTTGCAGTGAACGCTCATTTAGTTCCTTGCATGGACCTATGGATGTAAGCGATCCACATCGAATTCCATTAACTTGAATAATTCTTTAGATGTTTAGTAATTAATAATGTTTTAATAATTGTAATGATTTTTAGTCATATTCTTGGAGTGGGAGTCAGAGCAAATTGGGTGTACAAGACATTCCTCAGATTATAGCCAATTGTGCATCAACAAATGTAAAAGACAGATACATCGGGCTCAGGCATCTTATACAATACTTCAAGGATGGAAACACATTAGAACTTCCTGAATTGCAGATAATTACGGACATGTTTTCAAAATTATTTACGGACTCCCAAATCAAAGTTTATACTTTGTTTATAGACACCGTCAACGAATTACTAATAACACATGCGAATGATTTGCATGATTGGTTATATATTTTGTTGACTAGATTGTTTAATAAACTTGGCACTGATATACTTGGAAGTATCTGTAATCGCATTATGAAGACTCTAGAGATTATTAATGAATATTTTCCAACAAATTTGCAAATGAAATGTGTTTTCAGGTAAGTCATAACTATTAATTTTGATTGCAAGCAATATTACATTTTAATGATTTTACACTTTTATAATAGATTCCTGTCAAATAATGCACAAACTCCGAACACAAAAACAAAGATCGCCACCCTTAAATTTCTTAAAACACTTACTACTTCATATGATGTATCCAATAATTTCTACTATCAAGAACCTGCCTCCAAGGCTTTATTAAAAATTATTAATTTTTCTTCTGATCCAAAATCATCAGAGCTTAGGACAGAAGCAAAATACTGCCTGGTTGCGATATACAACTGTAACACTGTTAAGGTAACCATTAAATTAATTCTTACAGCACTTATAATTTATCTATATCGAACTATTTGTTTTTAGACTACTATGCTAATAAATGAACTTCCTAACCAAAGTAGAGATGTTGCTATGAATATTATACAGAATTACATAAAACGCCCTGGAGGTAAATATACTATTATATCATTTAATAGTAAAATTAAATTGTTGTTAACAGTGAAAGTTTTTAGGTTTTGACAGTCCACATTCTCCTTCCTCTTGTGTGAGTCCTAAACTTTTGCAAAGTCCAGTGCAGGCATATTATCTTCCAGGAACATCAAGTATGCACAATAAAGCTTTATTCAAATAAATTAGCAAATCGGTTTTATAAAAAATATGAATCTATTTTATAGTCGGACGTACATCACGCCTGAGCTCAGCTGATAGTGAAAGTATGAATCAGGAGGAGATTTATAAAAACATATATAAAACTACTGCAGAAATTCAAAACTACAGCTTTGAAACATCAGGTGTGCATTATTATTTTAAAATTAAGCTTCAAGAAATGATTTTACGTATGTAACATGTTCAATTAATTTTTGTAGGTTATTCAAAATTAGGTAAGGATACAACGAGCAAGGATAGTGGGATCAGTCAAATGTCTAATGCAGAAATGATACCTGCTCCAAATGGACTAAACGGACATGGGTGAGTCTAAACGGATATTCTGCAATTATATATGAATTTTTCTTTAAATCAATTCTTCTTCATTTTCTAGTACTGATGAGTCTTCCAATGGTTCCAAGACTCAATCTGCAGATACAAGCGAATCTGGTACCCCTGAAATCCAACTGGAATCTCAAAGTAATAGTACTAATATACTACAGTCTCGTTTACAAAGTGCGTGGATAGTCAACAAAAGCAAAAATGAACCTTTTCATATAAATGAACAAGGAGAATTTGTTTTTAAAAGTAATAGGATCATGTGGTGCTTTGAATGTTTAGTGTCTGATCAATGTTAATTAAATATTAGAAATTTCATGCATTAAATTATTTTAATTTCAAGTTTTTTTTTCGCTTCTGTTTGATATGTTTATTAGATTATATATTATTTGATAGAAAAATTATTAATCATTATTTAAAATTACAAATTTACATTAATTTTATTTGTATATGGTCTTTTTTTATTTTGTTGGCTAATCGAATATGCGGTATATATATTTGTTTTAATCAATATAGTATTGAATTTAGGCCCAGACATTTTTAGTTGTTCCAAATTAGTTTATAGGCATGTGAATCATACATTTATTTTCAAGAACGGTATATATTACAGATAGTGCATAAATGAATTTGATATAGCACTTCTATCAAATTTCACTTAATTTTCTAGTTGTTAACTTTGCAGATGGTCACAAGGAACGAGACATAATTGATGCCGCTATTAAATTGTCCAAAGATGATCCTCAGAATTTGAAAGAAGAAACTTTGGATGAACTATATTTTGTTATTCGAAATGGCAACTGTCAACTAGTAATTGAGAATTTCAAGTATGTCAAAATCTTATCATATTTATTTTGAAAATATTTCTGTAATGCTCCAAAGAAAGACCAGAAAAAATTTTCTGTTGCAGAGCAATACTTCGAACGCTTGTTGATATTATTGGAAACACACAAGAAGTTCAAAATGCAATCCGTGCACAACATGTCATTGTCAGCATATTTCGCAGGGCTGAAATGAAACCTTGTTGGATAAATTACATAGAACTTCTTCTTTTAAAAATTATTAACAACTATAAAGAAACTAAGGAGGTAAAATTGATGAACATTTTGATCATTTACATACACAATGTATTAAATTATTTCAATTTCAATTATTTGTCCTTGCTTTTGTATTTATTTATTAATTATTTATATATAGAGAGAGTGAGTGAGAGAGAGAGAGAGAAATTATTTAATATTACAAATTTTATTTTTTAATATGTATTCATATGTTTTTCAATTGAACATTGAACAGATAGCGAGAGATGCTGATTTTGCTTTAACACATATAGCTAAAGTATTACCTGTTGATTTGGCTATACAAGTAGTTCACCCCATTATAGCAACTGGAGAATATCCTTTAAATCTCGGTGCTGTAAAATTATTAACAGAATTAACAAAACAACATCAAGAAGAAATTACTGAGCAACACCTTGAAATGGTCATGAGCAGCTTAGCCACGGTAATTTGACATTAACTTTATTTCTAATTTATTGTTAGTTTTCTTAGGTGATTACAATATATAATATATTTTTAGTTGACTGATCATTCTGCAAGTGCAATGCGAAAAGCTACTGTTTTCTGCATTGTCGAATTACATTTGGCCCTAGGTGATGAGAGGATAAGTCCATATTTACAACATCTGAGTGCGAGTAAGAAGCGGCTGCTTAATGTTTATATTGAAAAAAATAAGACTACTAAGAAATCTTCATGAGTTATTGGTAACAAGTTATTTAATTACTGGAAAGAAATTATATTTTTAATTAATTAAGAATTGAAATTCACTCATTAAGTTCTTTACCTAACACTATACTAGAAAAATTAATCGTATGCAGTTTTCTATGCATAATTTAAATGCTGCTAAGAAGTAGAATGTATATTTAACAAAATAACTTCATGAACATCAATAGTCTGTTGATGTTAATGGACTTTAAAAAATATTTTTTATTTAACTAGAAAAAGTTTTTTTAGCGTGGAAAATAATAAAATATCGTCATAGATACATATTGTTGAAATATCTAGACATCTTAATGTTACTACTACCAACATATTTTAAATTTTATATGATATTGTCATATGTTTATGGTATTTTAACATTGTGCTAAATTGATTTTAAGATATATTTTAATATTTCCTAATCTACTTTTTATTAGGAGTGTAATAGCAATATTACACTTTGCTTAATGTTACTAAGACAAATGGAATCTTTTATATGGATGTTATATTAATTATTATAGCCAAAATAAATATAACAATTTTAAAGCTTGAAATATTGTAAATAATTAAAAAGATAAATTATTAGAATTTAGAGTTCTATTAATTAGCAGTTTCAATTCTCTACAAGATTTATTTTGCTTATTAGTGAAAAATTTACAAATTATCCACATAAGATCATTATTTGAGACCGATTCCAGTGATATAACTCGAAATTTTAAACCCTTCTTTTTATACGCGCCTACTTTGCATGTAATTACGTTTTGCTATTAGGACTGCCTTATTTTTTGCATAAAAATGTTTGCCTGGAACTCGTAATTGTTTCTAAAACTGATGTATGAATCGTACAAATGTGAAACGAATGATTGTAATAAAGAAAACATTTATACAAGTGCTCTATGCTCCTTATATTTTCATTACATTTAATATATGACTATTTTTTAATTATAGAGTTTAATACTACTATTGCTTCTCAGATAGCCTTAATCAAGGTACCCCTCAAGTATAATATCATAATTGACGCTTGAGGCATAAACTAGCATGTTATTTTTTAAATATTTGCTTGGGACACTCCAGTTATTAGTCTAATAAAGAAAAAAAAACAAACGAGTTAATAGTTGCACTTCACATTGTGCTCAAAAATAAAATGTGCTATACAAATAGGTTGCTATAATATTTGTATAATTATATTAATATAATAATTTTTGCTTTTAAGTGTTTATTTATATTTACATATAACATTTTTTGTAAAAATGCACCATCAAACTGGACATGTATATTATTATTGTAATAAATTATACAATGTGCTTAATAAATTTGGGTAACAACATATGCTAATTTGTTTTGTGTGATGATGATTGTTTGTTGCAAATATGCAAAGTTAAGATCGTTTATTGTTCTTTATTCAAATTGCATAGTTTTCATTTAACATATTATTCAGCGGTTACAAATTTTGCTGGTTTAAGTACACGCTGAATGATGACCATTACATAGTACTAGATGGAGTACTGCATTCCATTTTAATTCTGTGTATAATTTTTTCATTACTATTATAATGTGTTAATCGAATATGAATTCAATATGATCTATATTATTATTAACAATTGTTACAGCATAGTGAATGAATAAGTATCTGAGGAGAATAAATAAAGTTTTCGTAAGTGATATGCAAATGCAAGTAATGGCCGACAACGACGTTCTGTCATAATTTTGACATGTGTGTTGTCCAACTTGTTGCACGATAATACGATAATACGTTGAGATAAGTTTTGATTGTTCAGTAGTTCGGTGTGATTCAAACTAAATGTGAATTATGTAAGATGGTTATTACATGAGAAAGCGTCAAAAGACCGCTTCGTTCAATTATGCACGAATGTAAAATATAACCGTACAATCTCAATCAGTTTAAACATATTGTCAACGTCTTCTTGTGATGTCAAATACTACCAGTATAACCTATAAAATAGTGTGATTTATTCGTCTTGTTTGCATTCCTTTATAATCTTGGTTTTATAGAAAGAAACAATGAAGCATTCACATCTAAAAAAATTTTACAGTTTAGAAAGAACTATAGGAACTGGTGGCTTTGCTAAAGTAAAACTTGCAACACATTTACTTACCGGCGAAAAAGTGGCTGTGAAGATCATTAACAAAGAATCCTTGAAGGTAGATGCCATAATTATACTATTACTTTTTATTATGTTGTGCCCATACTTCTATCTTATACAAAAGATGGTATGATACTAATACTACAACCTTAATATTATGGTATTGAATATTTGACTTATTACCTCACAATCAGTTAAGAATTATTTACAATATAAAACTGAATAATCTTAAGTCGTTACCAAATGAAATGCAGTATTCTCGCATTCTCTATTTCTATAACTTCTATCTAAATTTACTTCTTATCTCACAGAAGTAAATTGAGTTTTTGATGAGAAAATAAAATATGTTGAACCAATGGATTTTCTAGAAAGGATAATGTTGGGATATTTAAAACAAAGTATAATCAAAGTTGTTTTATTTCAATAAAAAATAGATGCACAAATTAATAACATAATATATTTTTTTGATTATTATACTTATAATATTAATATGTAGGAGTAACTTTCTACAAAGGTTTTGCATTTGATTATATTATATACTGCATATGAATTATGAAATTTGATATAGTAAATTAGTTCACGAATTACAAACTTTGTTGAAATCTTTTGAAGACATTTTTATATTGATTCTGATACAGTTATCTTTAACAATGTTGTGTAATACATCCATGTTTATATTCTGATTAGTTATTCAAAGCAGCATGTTCAGTAAATATCAATTTTGGAAATCTATTTATTCTGACTTTTAATTTCTTTTTCTTTAGACTGATACAAACAGAGTGTCACTTGAAATAAGTTCTATGAAAACTTTATCCCACAAAAATATTTGTCAACTATTTCAAGTATTAGAAACAGAGACTCATTTCTATCTTGTAACCGAATACTGCGCTGGTGGAGAACTGTTTGATCATATAGTCGAGCGAGAACATCTGGATGAGGACTCTGCAAGAGTATTTTTTAAGCAGATTGTTTCTGCTGTTGCATATTTGCATTCTCAGGGATATGCCCATCGGGATATAAAACCTGTAAGTGCCTACTGTTACTTTTTGCCCAAAGAATTGAAATCCGGTTATTTTTAACACATTTTTTGAATTATAGGAAAACATTTTGTTGGATAAAGATGGAATAATAAAATTAATAGATTTTGGTTTATGTGCTCAGCCTGGTAATAATATGCTTCTGACTTCTTGTGGCTCTCCAACATATGCAGCTCCAGAGTTAATCAGAGGAACAGAATATTTGGGGGCTTCTGCTGATATTTGGTCATTAGGTGTTGTGCTGTATGCCATTGTTGTTGGAAAACTTCCATTCGATGATGAAACATTTGAAAATCTTTATTTAAAAATACAAGTAAGATCTTGCTGCATTAAATATCATATGTTCTTCAAAGTATTTTAGGACCATTTTCTAGCTTTTGCTTATTATTTTCAGAATGGTGTTTATGGAGACCCAGCTTGGCTTTCACCTGAGTGTCGTGAATTAATTAGAGGTTTATTGCAAGTCGATCCACAAAAAAGATTTACTATTGAAGACATTTGTAATTCAAAATGGATGCAGGAAGGACAACCTGTAGAAATACAAAAGAATGAACGCCAAAATATAACATATCATGCCGAATGTCTGGAACTCATGGCTCAATATAAAGTACTCACAATAGAAGCTTTGTGGGAACTTTTGGTTAAGCATGCGTAAGTTTTTCATAAAATATTTTTTGCCTAGTGATATTTAGTTTTGAAATAGAATCTAATCCAATTTTACTGTATTGTCTTTACAGATATGATTATGATACTGCAACATATTTAATATTATGTAAGATGTATGAAAATAACCAACCCTTACGAATAAATGTATTTGAAAGAAGAAATAGATTGGTGAGTTTTAAACTTTTTTACATTTGTTTCAAATTTATTCATTATAATTGCTAATTTTTATGGTTCATTTTTCAAGGAGGAAATGTTCTGCCCTGTGAAAAAGTCTCCAGGAATAATTCCAAGTGTTCTTTGTAACTTTGAAGATATTGAACATATGAGCCAAGCTGCCTCTGAAGAACTTCAACTTAGTAATATATGTTACAATTCAAAAGTAATACAGAATTCACCAATCAATAATTTGTCTCCATCGGCTCCTTTACTGGATAATAAAAATGATCAAATCAACTATGTATTTAGGAAGCATACCCGCATAAATGAAATGGCTGCAGGTAAGTTTATTTATATAATTTGTTTTATGTATAGAAAACTAAGTGTTTAACACACATTTTGTTCAATTTTGTATTTTAAATATGCTAAAAAGGCGCACCTAGTGTGAAATTTAAAAAAAAATTGGATTTTGAATTTTTCCATATTTTGAAAGGCTATACCTTTAAAAATAACATATTAAAATTTCAAATTAATATCTTAAATAGTTTTTGAGTTACAGCCATTTAAAAGATTATGTATATAGTATATAGTATAATGATCATTTTATCTTTAAACTTACTAACTTATTACTCGGAGACAAATGATCCGATCGCTATCAAATTTTTTTTTGCATCTCCTCTATATAGTTCTCCATACGATGACCCTCCAGTTTCTTGATCTGATCAAAAATCGAATTTTGGCATTCCAAAACCGACTAAAATTTTGAGAAAAATTTAACTTTTTTTCCATGTGCTGCCATTTTGTCAATTTTTGATTTTTTTGTTCGCCCAAGGGTCATCGTACAGACAATATGTTCTAGTTTAATGAGAATTTTTAGTTTTTTTGTTTTATCAACGGACCTTTTTTTTTTGGCGCCGCCGGAGATTGCGTGTCATTTCAAAAATATTTTATATTTTATTTCAAAAATTTTACTGTGTTTTCTCAAAACGTGTATAAATATACACTCAAAATTTTAAATAGATGGATTCACTAGTTTTTTTTATTTTTTAATTCCCATAAATGACTTTTTTTTTAGGTTGTAACACTAGGTGTGCCTTTTAAGTATTGAACATGTCTTACTCATCTTTTAATTTATCTTTTAATTTTTTTTTATATTTTATCTTGCACTTGTACTCTAATATATTTTGAAACTATGGAGACATTTTTTAAATGGGGAATAGCTTTAATTATTTTTAATAATCAAATTAATTACACTTTATACAGATTAGCTAGCTCCATTTGTTTTCTTTTTTATTTTCTTTCAATTTTTTATACAAATGTATTCAAGAAGTTTTTATTGTGTTAATTTTATTTAGCAGACCTATTACAGCTCTTTCGCTAGTGTCAAGCACCAAACATTTTTTGATTCAGAATTGCTCTAATTTTTATTCTTTTTTCTTTTAATTTTATTTAAAAATTTTGTCCAGATAAAACTAACTATTCAAATAATTTTTATTCCTCTGGTAATATCAAGCAGCTGATATTCTTTAAATGCATGATAGCTTCTATCATTTATTTCAAAGTATTTGAGTAATTTTTATAGCATTAATTTTTTCTTTAATTCAACCTCTTTCACTTGAAGCTTGAAATTATTAGAACTGGTATAGGTTCATTGATTTTATGTCATACAGTCTTAAAAACGTTACTATAACTGGCCAATTTTTAAATAAGACCCACTGTATCATTTAGTCCATATATACCATCTTGTCTGTATTTTCGCTACTGATTATACCTGTGTTAAATTCCAATTGTTGATTGTGTGATATTAAACGGAATGCCTTGGTATCCGTCTGCGTTATGAATCGTACTATTATTGTGAAGTGAAATTTATACAGACGTGCAGTCGTCGAGCTCTGATATATATTTATACAACTACACAGCACAGCACAGCACCGCACCGCAGGCAAATACATCAAAGACAATCCACCCTTAATTAAAATGAAATATTAACCGCGATGTTTATTAGTTGAGTGTTTTCCCGACACGACGAACTCTTCCATTTCCCGCCCTCCTGCACTTATCCCACTTACCGCACTTACCGAGGTCTGTTTTAGCGGCGAAACGAATTTGCCTGCGCCCCCTCGCTCTCACCCTCGCCCTCCATGTCATTTGGGGGTCTTTGCGAGAAAATGAGCGATGCCGTTTGATGACTAACTATGCTGGCACTGAACAAACGAACATTTGACGTATTTGCTGACGGAATTTGCATACATATAATGTAGATTTATATATAAATACATTAGCTCTACGATTTCGACCTGTATACAAGCATATATTTATATTACATATATGCATATGCAGTTGGTTCCGTGTATAATGACATCGAAGGGACTTGACAAACATTCATAACAAGCGGACGTCATACAAAGAGCTTTTGTAAAAAAAAGAACTATAAGGTGAACATGTATGTATTTAAATATTTAATAGTGATACTAAATGAACATAGAATTTGCACGTGATTAGTACCTACATTTATGCACATACAAGCGCATATTTTTTTATATAAATAATCTATATTTATGTCTGATATAATTTTTTATATTTTAATTTAAAACTAAATATCTTAGGCCTTCCAAGATTTTTTGTATTTATATAGGGAAAATACGAACAAGATGGTATATATGGATAAAATGACACAGTGGTCTTACTTGAAAATTGACTAGTTTTGGTAACGTTTTCGCGACTATATAACATCATGTCAGATATTGAGCGTCAATGTCACACTTTTGTAATAAGTTTAAACGTGTTTCGGGCCGTCAAAAGTTCATTTTGAGGCTAGTTTTGTTGGGACCTATTTGTTATCTGTAATTATTTCGATTAAAATCAATGAACTTATGCATAACTAATTTCGATCAATTTTATGGAATTTATCAGCCCCATTTATCCATTTTTGTTTACTTTCGGACAAAATGATCACTACTGGGTAGTTTTCGAGGCCAAGAAAAAATAAAATTGAAACTTTTCAAAGGTAATTGGTTTTTTACTTTTGATCTAATTACTTCCAAACAGAACAAAGAATCCATTGTTAAGAAGAATAGACTTGCATTGAATGCAAAATCTACTTTTCTCGTTTTGAGCCCAGCTAAAATTGGTTACGATGTATGATTTGTTCCCTTTGTCATCATGCGTCACATGCTGATATCCAAAAGTGGACCAAACGATTTATTTGTAAACTGTCTCCTTAAAAATTAGTATCTCAGTATGTCCCTACCATATATGTCATTTATCCGTACTGTAATGACAAAATGATTTTTGTAATAGATTGCATTTTTTCTTGATAAATACGTTATTATACATCCTATTTAATTAAATGTTACTGGTAGTCAATGAACCAAAGATGATTGAAAACTATTGAGACTGGAAATAATATCAATAAATAAATTTATATCATTAAAAACACCATATCATTTTGTCCGTACTTCCCCTACACATACCCATAACTCAATGCTTGGAGATTTATTAAACAATAAAAATCAAGTTTCTGCTTTACAAAAATAATACTTAAAAAAATGTATGTATCTATTTATAAAATAAAAAAAAAATTATCACATATATATATACTAAAAACAAAAAAAAATTCATTAAAAACAAAATAAACAATTCAATTAATTTATGAACAAAATTAAAATTCATCATTATCTGAGTTCATAATGGATGCTGTTGTAAATCTTGGCAAAAAATGGCCCAATATTTATTTTTCTTCTCACGTAAATTTTCTTATAGCGATTAACGTAGCTACCACCTAAGACATAGTTAAAACTGTTTTTTCTGATGAAATTCACTTGAAAATGGATGTTGAGGTAATGATGCATTACTTTATTACTATTAAATCTTGGGCCATCAGTAATCTCACTTAGTCTTCACATTTGATTTATTACGACATCCCCACAGTTGGATCCCATTATATTTAAAACACAAGACAAGATAACTTATTGCCATACACGAATAAATACAAATTTTGACACTCGTTTTCGTAGGGCATACGCACCGGTTATTCGAAAGATATTGGCTATCTTAAAATTGAAAACATAAAACCTGGTTTTTATATTAGCCCATATGAAAAAATCGCGTGCAACAAAGTATAGGAATCTGTTTACTAAGGGAATCTGTTTTTAGTATCTGTTTCGTTTCAAGTGTCCCTAGGAGACCACCGACAACGTTGATAAACGAGTTAGAACTTTCTAATTGTCGATCCTCTCGACCGAAACGTCGCAACTTTTTTCGCCGCCCTCGACGATATTAGTTGTATAGTTGTTATATATTGCGCAATATTTTTACATGTGACTTTTTTTTTATTTCAGCTCAAATCAGAAATGCGACAATCAGCTCGAGACAAAAGAGACGCAAGAGGTGTGTATTTACGAGCATAATTTTGTTTAAATTTATACTACCACTCCGTATCTTGAAAATGAACTACATACATGGTTATTGACATTTGCAAATGGAGCAATTTTATTATTATTCTATTTATTATTGTTAACTTCCGAATGAGAAGTTCTTTTTTGCGAAAAATCCGATATACTAATTTTATTTTCTTGACGTTTTAAGTCAATTTGAATCGAACGAGACCATATTTCGTTTTCTTAAAAACGGTTGGACCGATTTCGAAAATTTAAAACCCATTCGATGTAGCTCGATAACGACTAGCGTTTGTCAGCTTTGCGCGACGATCGGCCAAGCCGTTTCTTTTTAATCAGAAGAAAAGTGAAAATATTTCGTCCACGTTTTAGCCCACAATCTGGAATCGATTTTCAAAATTCAAAGACTGTTCGAATGATATGATATTAGTTGGGAATCGAGTTTTTAGTAAAGATCGGCCGGGCCGTTTAATTAAATGATGAAATAATTTTTTTTATAGTAGTTTGAAAATAGCTATTGATTATAGTTGGCATCCGCACTTAAAAAAAATACATTTTTTTTGAGCCCAAAATGCATGAAATGAAATGTGTTAAACAAATTATTAACTTCCCGTAGAGCAAGTTATAATAATAGCAAAAAAATCGAAAATGAAAATTTTTATATATCGTTACGTTTCAAACCCTTCTGAACATTTTGGCATATCTTAGAAAACATGGATGTATGTGTGTGTATGTATGTATATATGTGCGGATACAAATTTTTGTCGACGATTTCGGGAACACAGATCAACCGATTTGAATAATTTAAAAAACATTCGATTCGTATTGATAAGGAGACGTGCTGATTAGTTTTTGGCGATGGCAGGTCTAGCCGTTCCGAAGATACGGTGCAAAAAGTGCCGAAAACGGTAACTCAGTTTTTAAGAGAACGGAGCGTCCGATTTGAATAATTCAAAAAACATTTTACTTGTATTGACAAAATGAAAAATTGATCAAATTTTCATGAAGGCAGGTCTAGCGGTTTCGAAGATCTAATAAAAAAAGTAAAAAAAATGCACATCAAATTATCAGATATTTTATAGAGATTTTAACAATAAGTATAAATTTTGTTTACATTCCTATGGGTTCCGTACCATTGTTTATCCGTTAGCCGCCGACGCGGCGTTTACGCGCTTTGACATTTCGTCTCTATGCAGTTAAAGCAGTACGATTGCTTTGAAAAAAAGTTCAGAATTTCCAAAATATGTCAAAAAAAAAAGAAAAGTTCAAAAAATGTAATTTTTTGTCATATTTATAGTTTCTCAAAAATCTAATTTCTTCGAAGTAATTTTTTTTTTCAAAAATGTTAATCGTTTTTAAAAAAATAATAATGTTTGGTACGGGAAGTTCCAGCAATTTGCCTTAAGGCATGATGCCATGCGCCCCACTAGTTTTAATTTATATGTTTACAAATATTATAAGTAATATTATAAGATAAGATAAGGAAATAATATTGATTATTTTTAGTGAAAGCGAAAATGTTATATTCGAAATGAACAGTTGAACATTTTACCTAAATAGCTGGATCTGAATTGAGTTGATTATGTATACGTTTTGGGAAGTTAATGCAACTTGCCTTAAAGCAAAATGCTACTTTCAACTAGTTATTGCCATTTTTATTTTTTATTTTTTGAAAATGATAAGTATTGAAACATATTGTCCTTATTTTAAATGATACATTTTCTCGCGTATGACGTGTTTTCGTCCTGTCTCTGGAAAATCGTCTTAACGGGGTTTTACATTATATTTATATGTATGATGTATGGTTGTATGTGTTTATATAAATAATATATTATACAACGTGTGTTGATATCTGCCGCCGCAGAGCGCTCTGCATCATCCCCTCGACCCTCGAATCTTGTGTCTCGTGTCTCGTGTACGTAGTAAGTAGGAGGAGGGTAGAGGGTAAGTGTATAGATTTTCATTATCATTTGCTTTGTCGTACGCAAGAAGCACTTTGGTCCGTCATGCTTTGTTTACCTATCGAGTTTTGCGTTTGCATCGCGGTTTATATTTCGCGATAAAAATCTGCGTTTCCTTATCCCGAGGGGAATCAAAAGACAAATCATGCCATTCCATACCATACCATGCCAGAGACGCTGAAATCAACGTTCATACTTTCAGGCGTAGGTAGATAATTTTTTCTTGTCGGTATATATTATTTATGCATACACTTTTAAGACACACATAGTTTTATACATATAAATATATATCTATACAGTTCAGAATGGCTTGAAACGTCGAAAAAATATTAAATTAATAAATCAAATTTTTAGTAGATATGAAAAGTTTTTATAATTAAATAAATTTAAAAAAAACATAAATTTTCAAACAGTATGGATCTTTTTTGTAATTGAATTTAAGATGGTCATTATAATGTGACTAGCACATGTTACTATTTCATTTATTTGAGTTTAGTTTAAATCATACAATTTTTTGAAAGGTTTTGAAAGGATCTATATATTTATGGTTTGATAACTTAATCGCTTTTTGATATACGTTTGAAAGTTGCCTAAAATTCGTTTTTTAGTATGAAATAAATAAGTATTGTACCATTTTACAACCCTGCGAAACACGCCAAAACACATCAGAGCATTTTTTTTTTACCAGAAAGCCTTTCAAAGTCGATAAATTGAACTTCATAGTTTAATAAATATACTTAGGGCAATTTATATTTATATTAATAGTCATTATTTTTGTATGTGGTTCTAGAAATGTTATTTAGCGGTTTCAAAGTTTAAATGAAGCAAAATAATAGAAATTGATCAAAAATGGTTACAGGTTGACCAAAGCTCTAATTCTTACTTACTAAAAGTTCATAATTGCGTTTTATAAATTATTTAAAAGGAATGTTTTGCCAACTATAACATGTTATTTTAGTTTATCAGATTGGAACACATTCCTGTAAAAGGGCGTCCATTAATCACGTGAGCGATATCTAAGGTTTTTTGGACTCCCCCTTCCCCCTTGGTGATACGTGGTGATATTTAAAATTAACCCCACACAACATCACGTGTATTTTAGTAACAAGAAAAATTAAAAAAGAAAAAAAAATTGACTTTTTTTTTTGAAAAATTTTAGATTTTTTTTTTAAATTAACGTGAGGTTCATTTAATGTTCTAAAATGATTATTTTAAATTCATTTCATAGGCTCATGGTGGAAATTGCGTGGTTTAACTAGTGTACTTTAATTGATCATAGCATCGCCATAAAAAGTGAATAAAACTACCGCTTATATATTCTTACCCAATTCTATATGTCACATTCTTCTTGCTAAACTGCAATAATCTTCAATGCTTTCAACAATCTGCAGGAATTTACATGTACGAACATTTATTATCCTTTACCCTGTACGATTTCGGGTTGATCTCGCCATTTTTTTTTACTTTCTGAATATTAATTTACTTTTATACATCGATCTCGCGATCAGTGTTATCGTATTGAATGACTCATTACTAGGGAATGCAATACTGGTAAACCGCCCGATTTTTTGGCATTATTAATACCGGTATTTACCCTAAAAATACCGGTATTTTCGGTATTTTTGCACAAGCGCTTTTTGATACATATTACACTCAAACTTAAATTTCTCGGAACAATATTTAAATTCCATAATTGCATAACAGCTATATCTTTAAGCGATTCTATAGGATAAACAAATGTCATAATATTATCTCAACTAGTCATTAAACTGAATATTTATTGCTTTCCAAAGGGCCTCATATCGTGTTACAATAAATAGAATCGGACTGATAGATATTTATTTTTTTAATTGTTTTTTTTTTTTTATATTATCATTACAATTATAAAATATTATTTTACTTAAAACGTATCGCAGTTTGAAAATATATGGCTATTATATTGTTTTAAATAAAAATACTCTACAATTATAGTATGTTATTATTTATCTTCATAAAGTATCGGATCTTAAATTAGTAGGAAAAATACTTTTTTAAAGCCTCTAAAATATTGGAAATTATGCTAATTTAACACATCGGATACAGACAATACAGTTTATTATAATAATGTAATATGATCTTTTATGAGTTTTTGGTCTTTCTTACTCATACGTTTAATTTTGGTAAAAAGTACTCAATATACTCGATAATGATGATGAGTTAATTAAAATTGGATATAATTTTGTTAAATTATTATTAAAAAAAACTTATGTTTTTTTTTTATTTTTTACTTGAATATAGTTGTAGTCGTATATATATATATATATATATATATATATATATATATATTTGTACTAGTAACTTTCAATATTGTTTACATTTGTTTAAGATAATAAAAATACCGGTATTTTACCGGTATTCCGGTTTTAAAATAAAAAAATACCGAAATACCGGTATTGAAATTTTTCATCGGTATTGCATTCCCTACTCATTAGTCATTACTATTATTATCTTTTTCAGCATAAATGGGCCGACTCAGGAGAACCGTCGTCCTCCCTCGTTGGCCTGTTCGCCCGATCCTAATACCTGTCGCTTGCCGACGAACTTCAACTTGCAGCACGGCAAAAGCACGCCGCGCAGTTCGCCCGCCCGGCGAATGCTCGGCTCGATCGAGCGGTCGATGCACCGCGTCAGGCGCGCCCTTATGCCCAGGCGATCTCACCTGGGAGGCACGCCGAAGACGGCCAGGACCAATCCCTGGACACCTAATTCGGCGGAGGCTGTCAAAATCATGCCGCAAGTGCTCAACGCTAAGGTTAGGATAATGCATTATTGTATATGTTACGGGTCTATATTCGTATGGTAGAGTTATGGTAGTAACAAACTGTCAAAAACCTATGTATTTGCTGTGCAATCAGCCGTTTCACACATAAGCGTTGAAGTGTTATATAACACTATATGAATTCTTCAATTCAATGAAAACAATTTATAATTTATCATGTCTTTTGTATTTATTGGTTTCCATATAACGCGGTGCAAATGGCGTTATTTATATTAATTTTTAGTTTCCATATTAACGTTTCATTGTTATTTCAGAATTTATCAAATGTTTCGACAACGACAGCGGTTGATCCTGCACTTGTCCTTCTTAAATTGCGAACTGCCTTATACGAAAAGGGCATATTTTGTAAGCAGAAAGGGTAAGTAATGAAATTTAATATTTCATATTTTCACTATGCGCTTTGTAGAATTTTAATATCGTATCATATTAAATAAGAGTATATTCGGGAGGAAATTGAAATTTTATTAAATTACTTTTTAATGGGGAGAGTTTATTAAAAATATTTTGAAAATTATGGAAATGATTATTTTGTAATTTTAATGAATAGATTAGCATTTTGAATAATTTATCCAAATAATTTAATAAAATTTCAACTTTTATACGGTAGATTAGTTGAATAGTTATTTTAAAAGGGTGCTATCGTCTGGTCATAAGAAGTATATTTAAATAATTATTTGATTCTTTCATTGTTTAATGTTCGCCAAATACAAGAATTTAGCAACTCTTCAATTTCTATGTGTCTATTTAAATCGTCATAGCTTTTAAAATGAAATTTTTTAACAAATAATGTCTCACTCACATTTTTATTGGGAATCTCCGGTACAGATCGATCTATAATAATTGAATTTAGATTCTTTCTTACCGGATACGAAAATGTAATACTAACAATTGTAAAAATCACGTAAATTTTACTCACATTTTGTGAATGAAATTTCCATCTGAAGATGTGCTACGGAATAAACTACGTGAAGCAATGTTCAACTTTATTCCCTGGAAGATAAGTAACAAACAATTGTGTATCAGGCGTGGTCAAAATTAATGATATTCGGGCTGTTCATGTAATATTGGAAACAATATGTAAAAGTAGTATTAGCCGCAGTCTTTATCTTGAGATTTTACATAATCTGAGAATGAGATAGGTTCAATCAATTTTTTGTATATTTTATAATTGAGAAATTTATTTTTTAGAAAATATCCAGCTTTTGAATAATGTTATATTATTTTTTTGTAGTGTTATTGCACTAACATTAAAATTAAATTAACAATGCATTATATTATTATTATAAAATTTAAAATTATTGATTCAGTTATTATCATTGAACCACATTTTGTGCTTTACTGTTTTACATCCTGCCCATGTATTCGTATCAAACGACTTGAATGAATATTTGTGGTTAGGATTCATGTTTTTATTTTATTATGAAATGACCTTAATTTTGTTGATATTGTAGTTTTATAAAATGAGAAAGCATTGGAATGTGGAAAATTCAATCAATCAGAACTTTGTATGCACTTCGCAAAGGTGATAATTTGATATATAACCTAAGTTCAGTCGAAATATTTTTCAAAGCTTGTATTAATAATTGTTTTGCTGTTGAATTTATTAGAAAATTCCCGGTTTATAAGATTCATCAAATATATATTGCGTTGTATCACTAATAAATAAATAGTACAGTCAACTCTCCGATAATGACTTCTAGTAAATGAGTCTCCCATAAATGAATGGATTAGGTTAGGTAGATTGCATAATTTACAGATTTACATTGTTTGCAAAAGTGTTCGGGGCAGGCAAAGTTATTGCATTTGAATGACAGTCTGTACCATCGGTACGGGTATGAGATTCGAGCAAAAAGCAAATTCGAAAAGAAGAAGATTTAAACCACACATATTATTATTTGTATGATATGGTTTCCTGTAACTTTTACGCGTTCAATATTGGTGATGAAAGAAAAACGATTACGGACGTAGAATCCATTCATGAAGTGCATCAACACTCTGAAGAACATGTGCCGTTATTATTTCAGCTCACGAGAAAAACCTCTTGTTGCGCGATTTCCATATTACACTTACCGCGTTATTGTAGAGTTGATGGTACTGCAATTAAAAAGAATCGCTTCTTTAATTAGTCAGCTCAACAATTTAGAATAGTAAAGTCTAAAAATTCCTGGTGACTGTAAAATGTTAAAATTTTCAATTTATCAACACATTATAATTTTTTTTATAATCGAGGTAGTTTATTCATAAATTATATTACAATAGCGTGCAATTAGTATTGAAGGAACCACATAGGTTTGGGATTATTAGACTTTTGATTAGTTTGTCTGGTATTGTATTCAGTATTTGAAAATTTTAGGTCTTACCTAGTTATTTCTTGTTGCCATTTATTCAAAACGAATTGTGCATATATTGAATGCATGCTTTGCTATATCTTACTATATATGTTTCTATAAAACCTTATTCTATCTAGTACTTGTAATTTGTTTCTAGATCTATAAGCTTCTAAGCTTTACCTTAAAATCCATGGGTTATTTCTATTTCATCCTCTTGAACAAGTGGTCAAGTCAATTTTAAATACTTTTCAGGGCATCTGTTTTTAAGTTTGTAAAGTGCCTAAAAATATTTTCATTTTTTCTCCATTATTGGACAAAGCAATGACTTTAATCGTAGTAAAATAGTGAATTCCGCCACTTTGGCCGAAATTTGACTTAGCCACTTATTCACCATGATGCAACATTGATTCTTCTCTCTATAAATCTTCGTATCCTCTTCAACTAATCAATTTCAGGTACACCCTGCGCGGGCGCATGGAATTATGCAAAGAACCAAAACCATCATTATCTAACCTGGTAAAAACACCTACCACAACCGCTAATGACGACCAAAAACCATTTATACACAACAATAATAGTAATTCCTCGAACGAGGTGCCAAATTCGAAGGATTCGAATTGTTACTGCTCGTTCGAGCTGGAGGTATGCCTGCTGGACACTGCCGCTCTTGGCGGAGGCGACAGTCGTGTCCTGGTGCGCAGGAAAAGGCTCAAGGGCGACGCCTGGTGCTACAAGAAAGTCTGCGAGGAGGTGCTGCGCATCACGTCCACCGAATTTCTCGATGACGAGAGCTTCCTTGGAGTCACGAGATTCGATGGAAATGATTCGTATTAGACCATTAAGTGAAATATCTAGGTTTGATCTGATCTATTCTCGTCTTGTCTGATCTTTACTAACCAAATTTCATACTTTCATACTCATTTTTAGTTGTGAGATGAAATGAAACGAAATTTTATTGCGAATTGTATATAATTACATTTAAGGAAAGCCATTATAGTTATTTTTCTTTTTAGTCGATCGGTCGTTAAAAATGTTACGTTATATTTTTTATTTAGTTACTAGATAATTTTTTTCCCCTAAATTCTTAAAAATGATACAACTATAATAATTGATAGTGCAAAACAAAACATTCCTTAATTTGTTATTAAGTAAGGTAATAATATTAATTTTAGCATAAAGTTTGATGAATTTTAAAATAAACTTAAGCCTATAATAATTGTTGAAGCTTTTTCAAATACACAAGATAGATATTCTTGAAGATACGAAATTAAAAATCTTAATTTATTATTACTATTTATCATGCAACATCAAATATCCATTTTGGCGCGAATTTAATACGTTTTTTTTTAATATTCGTTTACATTTTTTAATCCCTTCGTTATTAATTCGGCCATAAAAATCAAAATAAGAAGCAATATGGCATCCCTGAAATATTTAAAATTATTAGATTATTTTGAATTTAAAGTATTTATAGTTTTCTTCGTATATTATTTATAAACAATATAAAGATTTATATATCACCAATATTATCTAATGTTATACAGCGGGATTCAAATTTATTAAACTGTGTCTTAAGACTTGTTTTTATAATTTTTTAAATTTATAATATCCTTTTAGTATAAGTATTAGAAATGCAGCTTCATTTTTTATTTGACTGATGTGTTAAATGTGATAATGAAATGTATTCAACAAAATAAATAACACTTTTCTATTTTAATTTCTATGTTTCAAACTCTTTTTTTCAGAACTTTTGGTATACTGTGGTTTGAGAAAAATATTTCATCATTACTTAAATTTGAAAACTTACCTTATTTTCTTTTAATGCCATGGGAAATGGGAAGTTATGTTTTTTTTCTTTAAATATATGCACACTTGACCAGAATAAATGTAAAACACTATTACGTACAACATATTTATATTCTACTACAATTTGTAATTTATCTATATCTGCATTAATTGGATAATTATACATACCATTATTTTTAATAATTGGTTCAAAAATTCAGTTTTGTTGTTTAAATTTTAATAATCGTTATGTAGGCTAATTTTTATACGTAAAATAAAAAAATACTCGTAAATTTTGTAGAACGATCAACATATTCGCTTTTTAAATACATATATAAATCTGCCGCTACATAATTTTTATGAAATCATTTTGAATGAAACTTCTAATATTTATCAAGTTCCCGAAGGAAAGCATATGATTTGCCACTGAATACGATTTGCCATGTTTTTTCGACGTTTCAAGTCATTTTCAATCGTTTAACACCGTATGGTGCTAAATTTGACGTTTTGCCTGCGTTTTCTCAAAAACTGCAGATTTCAAAGTTAATAGCTATCTGTTGAAACTTGATAAGGGCTCGCGTTGATTAGTTTTTTGCGACGACCGGCCCAGCCCTTTCTTTATAATTAGTAGATAAGTGAAGAAAAAATCATCTAAGTTTTAGCCAAAAATCCTCGATTCGAAAATCCAATAATTGTTCCGAAAACATCAAGGGGGACTTGTTTCAATTAGTTTTTGGTAAAGATGAGTCGGGTCGCTTCTTTGCAATTAATTGCAATTAAAAAAAAGATGTTTTCTAAATATGATTATTTGCTTATTTTTATTTAAATTTTAATCTTCTTCGTATTTTATCAAGGAAACGAGTCGTCGTCCCAAATTTTAATATTAATCCAATTAAATGTAATCGTTTTTTATGTTTTTTTTTTTTAAAAGTGATAAAAAAGTTCAGATTAATTTTAATTTTAATGTTAGTAATTTTTGCTTTTATTTAATTTTTATCTTTTAAAACCGAGAAGATATGAAAAAGCTAACAAGAGCTCGCATTTTTTTAATGTACAATTTTTTTCATTGGTGGTACAAATTAGTACAAAAGAAGTTGATCTTGATAGTTTAAAGGAGGTATTATTTATAATCATGTAATTAGTATTATTTTAAACATGTAATTATTAGAAAGTTCGATAAATGAACTTGCAATTACAAGTAAACTACCAATGGAACATCAATAAGCCTTTCTAATTTTGACTTCTGCACTCTTTTAAGCTTCTTGTTGTTTGATTTATTTGTTTTTATATTTCATGTGTGCGATACAATACGATATAGAATATCAGGTGAGAAATACGTGCTTAATCAAAAATCAACCGTGTATCATACACACACCCGACTTCATTTTCATATGTGGATGTTCAATTTGTATATCATATGTGTCTTCTCCAATGCAGATTCGAATGGCAATAAAAAGTGATTTTTGTGAACGAAAATGTCGCATGCGCATTAAAAATATTATCATAGAAATATAGAAATAAACATCGTAATCACATCATAGACTCACTTTGTGCATCCATGAAATAGTTCTCATTTACAAACTCATAATATGACAATAATATGACAAATTGTGGCATTATTACATTTTCGACTTGCAAAGGCCCTCCAGCTCGATGTTTAAGAATGACGATGAAACAGCCCTCCTTTTAAATTTTAAATTTTAAATTTAATAACGACGACCCGATCCCAAGCCTTGTGTCCCGTTAATGGCCCCCGTGTATCAACTCAATTACACGCACATGAGGAATCACCTGTTCCACCTTTTAAAGGGAGTTTTAAACGGTCGGACTCATTATTACGTCCGAGTCGGAGGAATTCAAATTAACAAACGAAAAAAAATAAAGCAAGAAAAGTGCAAGTCAAATTTGGTCGTTAGATACATTATTCATTCGATAAAATAATAGCTAAAGTCCATACGCTCTTTGAAAAAACGTACTGTAAAAAATAATTTGAAGACCATTCAGCAGATTGCAGAATTTTCTAAGTTTTATTAAAAATAATGTAGATATACGATATGTAGGATACCCATATTGCAAACAAACTACAATTCGAACCTTGTTAAGAACATTATACATAATATTTTAGCATAATACACGACTTCACGTTAGTTCCTACACTTTGAAACATATTGTCCCTATCACGCATAATACGCTTTCCCATTCAAGGCGCGTTTTTGGCCCTGTCCCTGGAAAATCGTCTACGAAAAGTATTTTGATTATACAAAATTATTAAAGTTTGGAAAAATGGGTTGCGTACTTAGAAATCACATCGTCGTAAAAATTACACGCGTTTTATATTATCCTCAAATCCAGTGTAAAAAACTTACAATTTATTGTTTATTTTTTCACTAAACATTTATATATGCGATAAATTAAATTAAGACAAGTACAGTTATTAATTTGTTTCAAAGATATCAATTGATAATTGCATTGATTAAAGAAAAGCGAAAACTTCACTTTGGAAATAAACAGTCGTAATTTTTTTCTAAATACCTAAAATTTGATACTTGCCGATTAATTCTTATACACTATTTACACTTACACCTAGTTTAATGCCGAAGGTACAATTCAGATAGTTATCGGCTTCAGAAAGTCTAGTCCCCTCGCTGGCCATATGACGGGCACGAGTCGTCTGATCGAAACCATAAAAAGTGATCTTATTTATTTAGTTTTTCATAAACGATTCTGTCAATATTAGCTTTTTTATAGATTATACGATGCTAAAAAGTTTCTGTCTGTTTCATTAACTGAATACGAATATTCTTAACTTTTTAGCGTGCTTTATGAGCGCTGTTTCCGATTTTTCGAGTGTGGTCAACTGGGATTTAGTTATGGTAGCACTATATCGTAGAGTTCCATTATTATACCGTGCCATAAAAGTTTATTAATTATTCCTAATATTTGTTATTACAGTTGACTATTCATTGGAACATGAATCATATACAAATACGGCAGCTTGGCAACTTTCAATCAAATAGTCGATTATTGTTATTTAATCTTCATAATTCGCCAATCGCTTGTTTCAAATAATCGAAATAACAAAAACCGGTTGCACTTTCTTCGCCAACTTTTAAAAATGCGAAGTGGTAATATAATAAGGACATTTGTGCGTCCGTAATAATAACACCTGCTAGAAAAGTAACGATGGAAATCGAGACTCATTATTTCATACTTGATCAGACATATGCTGTTGTCGTTTCTTATTAGTTTTGACCCCAACATATACCTACTAATTAAAAAATGAGACAACATATTAGAAAATTAGACATATTAGAAAGTGAATTGCATGAACTTTTCGGTATGTGAAAATATATAAATTCAGATATTAAGATAAGTTAAAACAGCCCAATAGTAGCTAATAATTTCTTAAATTGATAATCAATAGTATTATCTAATTCTGTAACTATTATTATTCCATGAAAGATTCGCAAAGCATCGATCTTCTCATCGTTCGCCAATTATTCGAATTAACCATCCATGAATTGCTTAATCACATAAACTTGATCCAAATGCATAGCATAATTAAAATTAAATGCATTTGTATCGGCGGGATTTATTTTATAGCAAAATGTACATAATCATTTATTATAGAACACTTATAACTGACCGACAATGTTTTGCGGTGTTTTTCGACTAAACTAGATGTAAGTGGCATTTTGCTTTAAGGCAAGTTACGCAAACTATACGATATGTATAAGACTTAATCAATAATAATTCAAATTTAGCTATTTAGATTAGAAAATTTATCAGTAAATTTTAAAATAGCGGTAATTGTTTTTTAGACCTTTTTAAAAATAAAATTCTTGGTTTTTCTAGAAATTAATCAATGTCATTCATAACAATCAAAATTTTTATTACAGATTTATAATCTAAAACAATTTTATAAAGCTGTATATCTTAACAGTTTTTAAATTTTCAGGGTTTTGTTAAAATTATGTCAAACGATTCAGAACGACTTGAATGAAGTTAAAAAAAAATATTTCTAAGTCAGAAATTAAAAAAATCTTTTTTAGATATGAAGATAATCGATTATAGTAGGCTTAGGTATCCGTGTGAAATACGGATAAGAAATTGAACATCTCAATCGCTGTTACATTAAGACATTAGCGCGTTCTGTTGTATCGGAAAATAAAAGCTTCATTGTGAATTGTGAATTGTGAA